CCTCTATCATATCGGATTCAAGGAGGCTATCTAAGACAGTTTACAGATTTACGGGGAGTATCAAACCTTGTGCGGCACCGGAAGTGACATCCATTGTCCACAGTCGATCTTAAGTTTTGCACGTAAGAGTTCTACAACACAGATAGTCCTAAACCTCAATGAACCTACTGGAACGTGGAAGATGTTCCTCAAGGAGTTTAACATATCGAACCATCTCGCCTAGGTAATCTTGACTGCGCTACCTGTATGTAGAGGTAGCGTAACAAGAAGATACGGCCAGAGAGAAGGTAGTAACTCTCCGTAGAATCAATTCAATAGTGCAAATTGATAATGCTTCAGTTGTTAACCTTACTTTCTGAAGCTGTACTCAAGAGGAGACCAGTCTCTTGCAGCTTCCATGGCAAACGCCACGAGTTTTTCAATTTTGTAATGGAGAGAACAGATGTTTCCAACTTGATGCTAAAGATAAGAAGGTCTCCTGCCCTTCCAAAATTAAAATGGGACCATTACGATTGAGATAGAAACAGGGTGGTGACGACTATATCCATTGTACCTTCAATAAGAGAAAGTAACAAACCGAGGCAAACAGTTTCAACAACGACCAGGGATCACCCATCGCAATGCAAAGCCCAATCTTTGCATCCATGCCGCACTTCCTGACAACGGACCACATTGCCTAGAACTTCACGACCCACTGAGAATACTGATTGACAGTACAAAGCACACATCAAGCCCTGCAACACAACAGGGGCATTCCTATTGACCATAGGTCACCCTTTTAGTCACCTCTTCCATGAAACCCGAGAAGGCTGCGGTCCTATTCTAGCCTGTGAAAACCTCGATTTGGAGGACTTTATTATTGAATCAATGGTTTCCATGAAATCGGTAAGAAAGTGAGAAATATGAATAATGCTGATAAAAAATGCCAAGGTACCTAAAAATTAACACTAGTGCCTTAAATACTAACAGAAGCCATTCTTTATTAAATCAATTATAAAACAAAACTTTACTATACCAATAGTATTTTAACTAGTTTTGTATAACATTATTAACATGGAGTCCACCTTTTAAAATACAAGTACAAAGTAGCTTTAGTTTACAAGACCGTGAGATGGAAATCCACACTTAATAGGATTTAATTTCAAACAAGCCTGAACAAGATTGCAGTTACATTATGCATGAGAACATTATTAGTTTTATCCTCAGAGGAACATTTTCCGCTTGTTAAATTTGTTTATTACATAGTAAGAGGAAATAATTGGTTGTTTCATTTAAGTAAAGAAAAAGAGTATTTTACAATTGTAAACACTTTAATGTCCAGAAGAAGAGAATGTTTATAGTAAAACACGTATCAGAGCTGTATTGAAAAAGCAATCATGTATTGAAAAAGGCTCAAGCTTCTTTGGCAAAGCAAACAGAAGGTAAATTTAGTCTTATTCTAATTTAAAATGTTGAATGTTGAAACTTAGCAAACCAAATCCACAGCTCTAAACACTGAAGTAATTTTGAATTCTTTAGGGAAATCAACATTGCATTAGTCTTAAGAACTCAGCGTTATTTGACAACTCAAACCTCGTTGCGAGTTGCAATTTATTTTGAGATACAGTCGATTATTGCATAGACCTACCACAGTTTTTAAAATGAGAATAAATAATTTTTCCTGCTTATTATTTCCTTTTCCACTCCTTTAACATATCTCATTAACCTTGTTTTCTTTTTCAGTTAGATTTATTGATTTAATTACAGAAAATCCAGTACAACACATATTGTATATACATACTGTACTGCCATATTGTTACTACATACTATAGGCCTAAATATTTTTTTGGACGTCCCATAGACCGTTGGACCACACAAAATGTTTTGAGACAAAGTAAACTTATTGTCATGGATAAACATGCGTTTATGGTTAAACCATAAAATCAAATATGGAAAGTATACTAAAACTGCAAAAATAGATCTAGATGGTAAGCTAGAGGAGAAAATAATCACTGTTTGTTTATTGCAGTACCATAAAAAATGAATCTCACTTTATTCTACCTCCTATTTAAAAAAAAAGGCCATGTAGAACAAGTTTATATTTCAACATTAATGAAAAATAAACGTTCTAAGACGAATTTGGACCAATCTAGTTCAACAAAATACGTCTTCAACTTTTAATGATGTCTCGCCTGGCCTTAATCATGTTACTGAAGTTCTTTCTACAAACACATAAAAATTAATGGACAATTTCATCTTCATCAATGTTCAAATATCTGATTAGCGCAAGAATCTTGGATTTCGTTACAGAAAGTTAATAATAGTACTTGGGACCGATGAGTCATGGCTCGGTATAGTTTATTTTGATTGTAAAATCAATACAAAGGAAACTCACGTTTTGTTTACAACTAATTTTGGCTTTTATTATTTAATTTTCAGTAAAATTTCAATTTAATGGAATGTTTAAACCTGGCAATCCACAACTATTGATTTATCACACAGTCGAAGGTAAATAACATAATTTGCTTTTATTCCAGAAAATGGCTTTAATATTTTAGCGAATTTCCCGTAGGGAATCAGCTATCACCCTAGGACTCATGATAAGACCTGGGCCCGGGAACGATTTGATTTTTCGTTTTGAGGTTCCAAATACACATGTTTATATAAAAAAGAATTTTAAAACCATGTAGCCTAGTCAATCAAGTGTTCATTACATCGATAAAAACCTTTCTTGACATATTTTTAAAATATATAGCAAACTAAGGCAACACCATAGGTGAAATATGGACTACACTCCGGAAACAGCATAAACAGTCACACACGGGGGCGAGCTACGCACTATGCGACTCTCCACGCTATAACTGATTAATAGGGGTAGTACGGAGAATGAATGAGAGCAAAATCTTAAATCGGTTTCTAGAAAGAAGCGAATGAGTTTACCATTGAAACTACCAGTCAGCAATAACACATATTTTTCTTTAAAAATAAATGTACCCAGAGGTTATGACACCTAAGGTTTAACAAGATTTAAAACTGTTATCATACCCTAACCCAACAGCCCCAAAATTGACCTTGAGAACTTAACCAATTTGGTAACTTTGTGCCAATGTTGTCAAACTTGTATTAAATTCTAAATTGAGAAAGTTTCTTTCTTAAGTGGTCTGTGACATTGGTTGTACTTGGGTTATTAAGTTTCCAGGTGAAATTTTTGTTATTTTTATAATAACTACTTTGATACAGTTCAGTCAATTATATTTCTTGCTAATCAATGTCAGTGTTACTTATTTCATTCTTGTAGATAAAATATAATTCTTATAAAGAAATACAAAAAATCTGTCAAAATTCAGTTTTTGAACAACATTTATAAAGTTAATTAGGGAATAATATGATTTTTTTTATAATTATGCACACACGTTTTTATATCCCTAAAAATTTGTCTGTGTAATAAATGTTTTAAGAGCTAATTTTACATTATTTTTATATTTACTATTTATCTAAATAATTAATACTATGAATTAAAGTAATACAATTTTTTATATCTATACATGAATATAAGAACTAGAAATAATAACAACTACAATACATTACTTAAATTTAGACTTGAACAATGATGTGTCTTCAACAATTGATGAACAAATTTAAAATTTTTTATCAAACATACTTACAGTATAAAGTTATTTTTATTTCCGTATACCCTCTCCTCTTTTTTCCCTGTAATTAAATATAAAATGAAAGAAACATTGGATGAAAAGATTTGTAAAGTGACATGACCAAGGGTTGTCTATATTATCACAAATTTCAAAGAGATAATCTTACAGACAAATGTTAAAAGAAATTCAAAAATATTCACATCTGATGGACCAACAATATTAAAAAGTCTACTGAAAGGCTAATTATTTTTATACGGTTTAAGTTTGTATAACATTTTATTCTTTCATTAAATACACGGCTTTCCCTTAGCAAGTTCCCAGTATTCAAAAGCTTTCATCTTGTACTTAAATTATTAGGAAGTTTATCAAACGTCAGCAAAACAAAACCAGCTAGGTGAGTCGGTGGCTCATTTGGTAGCGTCGCGGACTTCGGGCCCAAGGCAGCGATGTCGTGGGTTCGGATCCTGGTCACTGCCGAAAACATTTTATCAGTACAGTTCACCTTTGTACTGTACCGGCTCACCACTTGTTTTGCTGGATATGTTCCACACACGGGCAGTTAGTCTATGTGGACGGGCAAATGCAAGGTTAAAAGAGGCCGCCAACCTCTTAAAAAAAAGAAAAAAATAAGCTTGATCGGGCATTGGGGACAGAGTGTAATGGGATATCAAAATGTGTCTAATTTTGTTTTTTAAATCTTTACTATTAAAGTATTTGGAAATTACCAATTTTTATGACAGCCATCAAGTAGAGCTAAAAATCCCAACAATTTTGTATATTGACGCATTGTTTTACAACTGAAAGAGACAAATATAAAAAACTGTACATTTATTTAAACTTTTGTGATATTCTTATGGAGAAAAATTTACCGTTTCAGTTTCAACATACTCGTATGACATTTTTGGCCACAAAAAAATTGTTTTCCCATCCCTTCCCCGTAGCAGTGAACCTAGGTCAGTTAAGTCTAATGTTATTTAAATAAGTAATTTATTTGTCTGCTACAACTTATAAATTATAAAGAAGTCATACATTTTTTGTAAGGTTTTATTACTTTACTAACAATACAATAATACTCTCTGTTTCTTTCTGCAAAAAAAACATATTCAATGTGTAAATAATATTTTGATTCATTTATTTAATTGACTACGCAAACTGTGGTGAGTAAACCTAATCGGCAATATTGCAGGAAAATTCGTCAACATATGAATGGAATACAAAGGTAAAGTAGACAAAATAATATTAAAATTATTATTTAATATTGTTTTGTTTTTTGAGAATTTTTGAATAAATAGACTTCCCCTCATTCCAATCTTCCCATAAGTCCCACCTTATGGATAAGACATCTCTCTTTATGTACTATAATGTTTTTTGTAAAGTTTTTTTTTATCAATCTGCTCGTCTAGCACGGTTTGGTGTTTATAATGATACAATATTTTATCAAGCAAAATGTATGAACTTTACAATTACAAGTAACTAAGATAATCTGTGGTTTTATATGTATCAATTTTATTTTTGAATTTACTTCTACTGATGGTACAAATGTTTTTGTTTTATAATTTGTTTTAATGAGTGTTTTAGTACCCTATTCATGTTTTGTTAAAATTGCTAAACATTTGCGCCAATGATCTGATTTAAGTAAATTAACATGCTTCAATAAGTCGGTTTAATTTATTTATACTTTTGTGAGATTAACAGATTATATTTACTGTAGAACCTTGATAACAAGACTCTCACAGGGATCATAAAATAAGACTTTTTATCAAGGTTGACTTCTTATCGAGGTTTGCAATAACATATGATTAGGGGTAAAATAATTTCAAGGGTATTTGAAAATTACCCTTGTTATAAAGGGTGTCTTGTTATCGAGGGTCTTCGTATCGAGGTTCTACTGTATTCTCTTTCCAATTTCATGTACAGGTAGGTACTTTGCAAAACTTAAAATTTATTTGAGTTGAAGGATTTCATTGTGTTTATTTTGTGAATATCAATGGTGTTTTGCAAATTTCGTTTTTGTTTAAACATTTGTTATATGTTATCAGAAAAACATTACTTTTAGTTTTCTTTGGTTATATTTTAGTTTTTTTACCATACAATGGTCTAATCTCAGTGTGTTAGAATGAGAGGAAGTCTACTTTATTATTTTATTTACGAAGGAATACTTAAGCTAAGACGTGGAGGTTGTACTACTTTGCTGAGCAAATGACATAAACACTTGCTCCAAGGTGGTATCACTGACTACGTAGTCTTCTATGATGTCGTGTGTTCTCTTCAGGTACTCCATCTTTGTGAACAGCTCGGAGAGTCTAACTGAAGGGTCTTTGATGTGATAGTGAAGTAGTCCCTGAAATTATCATACTTGGGAATAACGAATAGAAATTCTATCAAATAGCACTATTCATTAGTTTTTTTGGCTAACTTCTATTTTATTCGTTTGTTTTTAAATTAACTAACTAATAACTTCTATCAGTTACTTTTTACGGGACTAACTAATAACTTCTAACTAGTTAGAATTTTCAACTAACTTTCCCAATTATGCGGAAGCATCTCAAATACTGGTTATTTATTTCACTTGATCAGTGAGGGTTGCGTGCGGCCGTGAGAGGTTAGTGTCCTTGTAGACAAACAACGCGGGGAGTGGGGAAAGAGAAAGTCAAAGTCTAGTTGCTTTGGAATGCAGTGGACCTGTGGAAGGGTAGTGACGGCCATTATATCAACACCCCAAGCACTGATGGGTGGGAAGGGGAAATGTTTGTTTGGTGATTTATATATCATCTCAAGTGTCAAAACATTGTCTTTAGTTGATGTTCATTATCACTGACAAGTTTTATGTCATTTGTTTATGTTGTAGTAATGTAAAATGTGACAATGTTTGATTAAAACACAAGTACCAGGGGACCGATCTTGCTCGAGGTGTTTGATTTGTTCAAGAGGTAAAAAATAGAGCTTATAAGCCTACAAATATTTTCAGTCTTACTACGATTAATTAAGTAGTAAAGTCAATTCGTTTTTGTTAGACATCCACTTATCCTCAATTTAGCCTACAAAACTTTTTAATTTGGACGATCAATCTATAAAATATCTACAATAAGTTTCAATCAATATAAAACTCATGATATCACATCTGTCACATCTGTTATCTGACGACCGTTATTGCATTAAGTCACTGGGATTGTGGAACGTTGCAACTATAATTACGGGATGGTGTAATAACCCATCAATTCGTGCGGTGCATCGTCAAAAAATACAAATCTCCTTGGCCTTTCCTTTAGATTTTTAGTTCAATGTCAGTGTATATTGTTTTGCAGTAAAACACTTAATGTTTTTGAACAGTCGTAATTATCCCTTTGGTTAGTAAGACATCATACAATGCAAATGTATTATACAAGCAATTTTCAATAGCATTAAAATTGGAGGAAATCGTAGGAGCCATTTTTTAAATCATATCTTGCGCAATCTTTACTCATATTATAGTATATATTAGTAACCAAGATGTGACATAAAAAATACTTTAAAACAACTGCCCAACGAACAATTAATTTCTACTAAAACTAACTTTATTTTCTATCAGTTAGTTTTTCAACTAACTAATAACTTCTATCAGTTACTTTTTAAACTAACTAACTTATAACTTCTATCAGTTACTTTTTACGGGACTAACTTATAACTTATAACTAGTTAGAACTTTTTACTAACTTTCCCAACAATGGAAATTATAATGACAATACAGTAGTTAATGTTATTTAAGGGTGCGCAAGAAATGTTATTAGTTTATTATGTTTTTGTTCTGTTTAATTAGTCAAGCTTTCATAAATAACTAGTTTTGATACTTTGCAAACAGTTAATTATTTTCAAGGAAAAGACAATGTTGTCACAGGCAGGAACATCAAGTATAATAAGTAGCAGCTGTAGCAACAATAGCACCAGTGTAAAAAAAAAAAAAAACAGAAGAAAAAACAATTAGATAAATTGATTACAAAACACAACCAAAAATCATACGGTGTGGAATAATATGTGATATGAATAATGTATTAGTTGGACCTATTATTAAAAAAAAAATACTAATTTAAGATCTCAGTTTAAATATCATTGAAACTGAAAGATCAGTTGCCAACCAGCTATCACACTCCTCTGTATGAGAGGTATGGTATTGTGTAACCTGGTGAATGTGTTAAAACAAAAGAACAATTATTTTCCCATTAAGGTTATGTCCTAGGCAAATCTTGATAGTTACTGTAAGGTCAATTTTTTTGTCCTCTGCAGTATTGGAAGTATTTTTACCTATAAGGAAAAACATCTAAGCAATCAATCAAATTAACTTTCAAGCCCTTGAACAATTGTAAACCCACCACAAATTATCACAAGTAAACTCCGTTTATCGAGAACAGGTGTAGCTTTTCTAAACTTACCCAATGTTCATCTTTGACTGAACACTCTCTGAATCGATTTGCCATGTCTAATTTCAGTCGAGTGACAGCGTTCTCTATACGGGACGAGGAGAAGAGTTTTATCTTTATTGTGTGTCCTTGGCCAAACTTCTGCTTGAGGTATTGTGTGCTGCCGATACACTTCATCTGACCGGCCACCATGATGGTCAATCGGGAACATAGAGCCTCACATTCTTCCATGCTAAAAACATCATAGACATTTAAAATATAAAAATGGATACACAACTAAAACAAAAGTAACGACACATTCACCACAGATTAAAATCGTACACCTTTGACCCTTTGAGCTTTAAGAATTATTTTGTATTTTAATTATGTCTATTTTTACCACAAATTTTCCCATCTTAAGAACATCGAAATCTAAATATTTTAAATCAAGTTTGCAGTTTAGATACACAGTAAGGATAAGCAAACGCCTGATAAAAAGTACAACTCAAAAATATCCAGGCCTACCCCATTTAGGCAACTACCATCCAAGCAATTTACTGTTTATTTTAGGTGGCCTTCTCCAAACCGAGCTCTACCACAGACTGATGGGCTTCTTATGAATTGCTCATGTTTGTGGGAAATGTACGAACAACTTCATCACCAGTGCTAGTGGAACACCACTTCCTGCTGATATTATACACGTTTTAGTTACTGAATAAGTATTCTATTTTCATTTTTGTTGTTTTTTTGTCTCATGATTACAATGTAGATTAATACTAGAGGTCCGTCCTCTGAAGAGGTTGTCTTTGTTTCGTATTTATTGACTTTTTGACAACCTCTTCGGGGTAATTCTATGTCCATTCTTCGTCTGAAGATGACCCTTTTGATGAGTTGAAACCGTTCACCTTTCTTCTGTGACATGATCACATCGACGGGTTATAAGGTATTTTAACCTCTTGTATTAATTTATTCTGTTTTGGTATTGAAGATAAATTTCATAACAACAAATTTCAGTCCTGCCTAGAAGATTTGTATATAATAGCAGTCAAAGTGTATTTAAAATAAAGAAAATTGTGTGTATTGCTGTCAGCCAACCTGTGGGATGTGAGCACGATAGCCTGTCCCGTCTTCTGACACTCTGCCACAATGTCCCACAACCTCCTGCGGGAAACCGGGTCTACTCCGGAGGTGGGTTCATCCAGGAAAACGACGGGAGGTGACCCGATGAACGCAATGGCGGTGCTTAACTTGCGCTTGTTGCCCCCACTGAAGGTGCCGCAGGGTCTGTCCGCGTAATCCTTCAGACCTGGCAAAAGAAGAGTAGAGGGATCGTTGGTTAACATGTTAATTGATAGATATAGTGATCATGTACAGGGTTTCCAAAGAGTTTGACAATGACTTGTTATTTGCTGATAATGCAACAAAGCTTAGCACATGTTGGCATCATATATTTACAAATCTACTTATTGATGAAAACATCGTTTGTTTCCATTATACTGGGAACGGACCACAAGGAAATCTGAAATAAAATAGGTCTAGAAGTAGGTACGTGAAATTTAACGATTTTTAGTTGTAAAATGGGGTAGAATAAGGCAGAAGCTAGTCAGGTTTGTCCATTTTATTTTAAAATTGTAAAATTTCAGTTATTTCTTATTTGATCTTTTAGAACTTGGTATCATTTGATAGATAATTTAAAATGCTAAATAAAAGTGTTCTTGGCATTTTTTTATAAAACCAGCCATTTTCGAGTAATTTGAGTTAACAAAATTTTAAATGGCCCCCATTTTGAAATTTTAAGTTGAATCAAGATGAAATTTGTTTCTAACACGTCACACGTGTCTCTTCTACCTTAACATACATACCAAAAGTTTCATAAAGATCGGTTGGAAAAATAAAAAAATGAAAAATTTTATGTAAAAAATACAAAATGGCGGATATTTGGTTTACGAAGTGATTTTGGAAAAAATTGTATTCCTGATTTTCTATTTATTTTGACCCAAGGAATCACTACCAAAATATGTTCCCACCTTTTTTGAGCACCCTGTATATATATACATAAATACAAATTTAAATGGTGTTTTTGGCCTCAGGGGACATCAAAATGAACGAGTAAATCGGTCTAGGTCTTACAGTGCCACCTACGGTAATAGCTACTTCCCTATAGGGAAATTCGCTAAAATCCCCATTTTTCTAATCGCTTTTCTTCACTTGTAAAATCAACAGGCAAAAAAGAATTTTCCTATTTCTATAAACAAACAAAAAATTGCAAAAAAACTACATATATATACACTACATATACTTGCATATACATATACTACGTATACTATAAACTGCATTTACTTTGAGATTGCATAATACTCATCTCTTAAACAACACAGTTAGTTTAGAAATAAATTTACAATTTAATCAACATACCCATCATCTGAATCCATTTGGAAACTTCGTAGTTTTGTTGAGAAGAAGGGATCCCCCTGAGTCTTGCGTAAACAATCAGCATTTCTCTGCCCGTTAACATTGGGTTGATAGCATCAAATTGCGGGCAGTAGCCGATCAGAGACAGAAACTAAAAGACAATTTTGAAAAATGTTCATATATTAATAAAACATATTTATGATAACCCAAACTAACATAACCGCTGCAGCAATATGGGTGGCCTCCGGATAATACCAAAGTACCAAATGAAGCAACTGCATAGGCTAGGACCCAACTGTTTGTCAGGCTTAAAATGTTCACAGATAAAATATTTACGTAAAATATATTGATATTGTAATATTTTGAGTGTATTTTATTTAATTACATGTTAATCAAAATATTTATACTACCTATGAACTGATACTAGGAAAGTATGCATCTACACAATAAATATGTCTATAAAAACTGCATAATCCATACCTGAATGTTCCTTCTAATCTTTGGTGATTAATGTCAAGGTCAAGTTTCTTTCACAATAGTGTCATAAGCCAACAAATTACTTTTTGAAAATTGAAGACAACTGACAAGATTAAGAGTACCAAATTTGCAATGAATAAAGTTTTTTGTTAACCTTAGATTTTTGCCTGCTCAAGCGAAACTGATGGACGTTTGCGTCTCCTTTGCTGGGAACCTCTTCACCCGTCAACATCTTGAATGTGGTGGTTTTTCCAGCTCCGTTTACTCCCAACAACCCAAAACAATCCCCTAGTCCTACCTGAAAAAATTGAGTGAAAATATGTAAATATATCTGAGTAAAATAGACATTCCATCACCATGTTACATTTGTAGCCTTAATTGTAGCCAAAATCCTCGTAGCTGATAGATAGCGCTGATCTATATTACAAAACTCTGCCGAATACACAAACTCTTTTACCAAGTCAAACTTAGGGAATGACTTATGATGAGTTGTTATGACCCATTAACCTGGTCAGCAACAAAAAATAAGGTATAAAATAGAACTTTTGGACACTAGCGCATTCTGTGACTGGTTTTCGCAACAACGTTTTTATAAAAAATTGGTGACAGCTGGTTCATATAGAAGGGATGTATACTTCAGTATTAAATAGTCAATGGTAAAATTTAATCAGATATTTTAGCCTCGGAACACCTAAATCATCATCTTTAGACACTAATGACAGACAAGTAAAAGAATCAATGAAATGGTTGTGTCATTGACTTAAATTTGTCCCGGACAAGCTCTTGGCTATTGTGCACTAAAAGTAACGATATAAGCAGACACTTTTCCCAGGAATAGTTTGATTTCCATTTCATCAATGTGTTTTTTTTGTGATTTTTTTGAGATTATTGTTTTTTTTTTAGATTGAAAAGTGTTTGTAGTACCTATCTAAACTTTTACTTGTTTTTATTTATTTTGACTACAATACTTTTTAGTTTTTTTATTGATGGAACTAGATATTCCATCTCCGTGGTGAAATTATTCCAGTGTTTTAATCAAAATTGACTTAACCAACCACAGATTGTTAATGATTTCTGTCACACGCAAACTTTTTGACCAAAAAACTGAAAGGGAAAGGAGGATTTTCTTTTATTAGCGAATTTCCCATATAGGGAATAAGCTATTACCGTAGTACTCATGGTAAGACCTGGACGCGGGACCGATTTTTTTTTCATTTTGAGGTCCCTAGACGCCAAAAACACCATCCGTTCAAATTCATATATATATATATTTATATATATATATATATATGTGTCCGTTAGCACGATAACTCGAGCAAAAATGATCCGATTTTGATGAAATTTGGTACAAACGTGTAAACCTACGTTTATTCAAACGAGTTTGCGATCCAGCATGATCGGACCATGGGAACGGGGGTTTACGGGGGGTTTTATGGGGTAAAAATAGGTTTTTCCCATTTTTGACCCAAAAAACATAAAATTTAGCAATTTCTTTCCAAACCATTTTGTAGAGCTTAAAAAAACAAATAATTTAGTATATTGAAGCGTTATTATGCGCCTAATGGTTACGGAGAAAATTCCAAAAAATTGTAAATTTAAAATTCCCATGTTATTCTTATGGAGAATAAGTAAATTGTTGTAGTTTGCTTGTTTATGAACATATTTTGATCAAATTTGGAAAATGTTTTTATTTCTTACTAACTATTAACGTTTTACAAAAAAAAAACAGTTTTACCCTCCCTGATGAAGCAAACCTAAGCACTAGTTAAACTAATTCTATTAGAGAATAAATGTTATATTTTTAAGTAGACATTTCAGTGTAAATCCAATCAGTCAAATGGAAATTCGCTTAGTCTGCAGGTTTGCTGCGGCGGGGGTATTTATATAATGCACCTTATTGTAGCTTATTCCCTACATGGGAAATTGGCTGAAAGTGGAATAAATGGTTTGAACAGATGAAAAGTAAGGCATGAGTAGAGTTAATTTGTTTCTGCTACCTGGAAAGATACTCCATGAACTGCAGTTGATTTTCGGTTGTACTTCTTTCCTAAGCCACTCACACATAAAACTGAAGTATTCTGGGTGTAGCCTGAAACAAATACATTATAATAGGATGACAAAGTTTAAAATGTATTTTCAATGGACTTCATACGGATACATAATATTTATCAATTCGAACAAATAGTGTTTTTGGCCTCTGGGGACATCGCAAAAAAAAAGTGAATTGTTCCTGGACCCAGGTCTTACTATGAGACCAACGGTAATATCTTATTCGCTATAAGAAATTTCTGATAGATATACAATCAACATATTTTAAATACCAAAAATTAGTAGTTTTATCAATCTATTATATGCACATCTTAAAGAAACATTTATGTTATCCTTATTCTTATGATGTTTTTTTTCTGTGCAATGTTTATTTTCATAGTTTTGAAACAAGTTTTGGACCCTAAATGTGTAATTTGTGCATGGGTCCCCTCTTTTGAATATGCAAGTATTTGAGAGTATGTTGTATGTTTATTTATGATATTCTACTCTAGGCTCTTGCGGGATTGTCTTGCTTCTGTGTCTGCGAATTGGGTAGTAGGAATGATCTTACGCTTTGCTGGGTGCCCAGGGCCAGATTTCCCAATAGGCCCGGTAGGCCCGGGCCTATGGGCGCAAGGTCCCAGAGGGCGCACGGCCGAGAGTACATTTTTTTATACCTTGGCTACCTATCTAAAAACAAAAATAAATATTCATAGTTGATAAAAAAAAAAACTCCAAAGCATTGTGATTCTGAAGTTCATGAGAAGAAATAATTGTTAGGAAATTTAAACTATTTTTCAGAATTACGCATCAATTTCGTAACAAAATTGGTAACGAACATTGGTTATACGGGAGTAGGCTGTAGGAGCACCCAAGGGGTTTACGCATCGTTTTGCCACTGCACTGCCACTATGCTGGCTCGGGCTGGGTACTACTCAGAATGATTAGGGGCGCATGCGTGATAGACATTGTTACCACCATCAACTCACAAAAGAAAAGTTATTAACTAATCTTTTGATTAGTTTACAACAATCTGTAGGATCAAGTTAAAATATATAATAAGTTATGTTGAATGTTAAGAGAACGATGAATTTACCTTTAAAATTAACGAAAAAATATTAATCTCAGTGTGCATTAGATTTTAGAAAAATTCAATACCCTCCAAAGCACCATTAATGCTGTCATTTTCTCCTCAGACCTAAGGTTGGCCGGGATATTGCTCTGTTTTGATTTGGAAATATAACCTAGATGCAGTACGACCATAGATTAAATATAACTCAAGTCGACTTCTTATGACATTTTTACCGGTACAGTAATTCAAAATTGTTTCATGTCTAGTTCATGTTGGTGACACTTGACACTGGACAGTTTTGACGTAATTTTGTTTCTATTATTTTAGGGTTAGTTGTATGATGTGTGTTTCAATTTCTTGTAATGTAAACAGGAGACGACCTCCTATTGTTGATGATTAGATCGTTTTATTTAGGATAAAATAGGTTTAAACATAGATAAAAAATACTCCTTAAATAACAAGAATTGTTTTCAGCTAATCCAAAATGATGACAAATCTACTAAACGAGTTTAATCTATGGTATCACGTACTGTATGGAGTTCATTTTTTTTGGGCTTGGATGGAATTGGAATCAATGGTCATGTTTTTTTTTTGCAGGAATGCTCGGTGGGTTGAGTTGTTTTGTTTCAGTCCCACGGCCACAAACGCATTTATTAAAGGCATAAAATTGCTAAAAGTGTTTAAGACGGCATTTTGTTAAGGCTAAACAAGTCAACTCTTCAAAAAAACTTGCTATGATTCTAACGAGGAGTGGTATTCAAGCAAATAACTTAGGCCTATGGGCATGATATAGTTTTTAATAAAGGTTTGAAGGAAAGTAACTGTGACCAGACTAGGGGGCGGAAAATTATTTGGTCCTAGGGGCGCAAAAATTCTAAATCCGGCCCTGTGGGTGCCTGGACACTCAGGCATTGAAGGAAATGAAGCCGCAGACAGATTGGGAAATTCTGCCTCAGCAGCAACAATGATTGGTCCACAACCCTTCTGTGGTATAACACGAAAAAGCGCCTGCACCTCTATTGTGTCATGGGCCAATGAAAAGCACCGTAGACGGGTTGAAACCCTTAGGGTTAACAAGCTTACTCTGTTTAATCCTTCTAAATGGGTTTCCTGCGCCTTTTTGAGGCTAGACAGGCGAAGTATTAAACTAACAGTGGAACTAATAACTGGCCATGGGCAATTCAAGAAACATTTACAACAGTTGGGCTTGTTTGATGGTGAACCAATCTGTAGGCACTGCAGTAGGTCAGAGGAGACAGCAGATCACCTGCTCTGCTCTTTCTTTGTGAAAAACTCTCTGATGCTAGAAGCATAAGTCTTGGCAATTTGGAGGTAGATACCTTCCCGAGGAGGAATTAATTGGAAGACTAGGACTACAGGCTTTCATCGGACACCTGAATCTCTAGGGCCTATCAATAAAACAACTGTCTGGGGTGTGCGATAATTCAACTTTTCAGATGAAGTGCTTTATGGTCTCATGCTTAGATAAGATGATATTCTATTTGTTCTTTGGCGTAAACAAGAAATATTCATAATCGAGTTTAACTGCAGAATAGACTGTCTAACCAATAATTTCATTGATTAAATAATTTTAAAAGTTACTAACCTCTGACGCTCATTGATGATAGTACTCTCTCCTTTTCAATCCGAACGTCACTGTCTTCTTCTAACATTTCATAATCCATTTTAATCCAAAGTTTAGAGATGAAAAACCACAGTTTCTTCATGACGCCATATTCAATAATCATTACTACAAGGAAGTACAGTACAGCATCAACAGCCAAAAAAATTATAGAATCCAACACTCCCAAATTGAAAATAAAAGGGCCGTTTCCTCTCTCTTTCCCAGCTTGGTAATATTGAAGAGGGTCAACACCTAGAAAAAAATATAATTGTAAATAAACGGTATAAGCAAACTGACACATACTTTCTTCCATAAGCTTGCCAACAACCTTTATCATGGATAAGCGGTGGGAGTGACTATGATATTTTGAAAAATCACGAAAGTTGCAATAACCTTTGAACTCTAATTGTTACAGAAATGGGGGGTTGCACTATTTAGTTTAGAATTATAAGGACCATAACACATTAATTTTAGTCAAAACCGATATTTTTCTCAAATCTGTTTTTTTTTTTTTAATTTATAGGAAAATAACATAAGTTGCAATAACTTTGGAACTGTAATTTTTACATAAATGTGAGTTGTACAATTTTTTTCAGAATTTAAACAACTATAACATACTAAATTTTTTTCAAAATTGTTTAGACCATTTTTGAGAAAAGAAAATCCAATTTTTCCGTTATTTTAAGGGTGTTAATGGGAATATCACCATTAAAAATCAAAATTAAGAAAAAATTAAAAGATTCCTGGAGATACTATAGATCCGTACCTACATACCAAATTTCATCAAAATCGGAAAACAGGTGTGGTCTGTGGCTCTGTACACATCCACACGCACAGACATCACTTCGAAAACTACTTTTTTTGGGTTCAGGGATATATTCCAAAGTGGATATATCCACTCAACACTCAAACTCAAAAGTGTTGACAAAAACAATACTTTCTCCAGTTTCTCCACATACTATGTATAGGGAGGGAGAGTAAAAATGACAATGAAAAATTAAAATGAAACAAATGAAAGCTTAACAGTTTTTTTTTTTTTTATATACACATACATTTTTGATGCTGGATTTTCAACAATGACCTGTGCTTCACGACAAGGACAGAAAAGAGAGTTATTTTACTTATCTAGGGAAATATTTAAGGAAAGTAAATAAAATTAGCCTACATAAAATTAAAAATTAAATACTTACTGTTGCACGTAGAACCACATTGATTGCAGGTTCCGTCTATGTACATTGCAGACAGTAAATTTGAAAGTGCAAAAGTCATAGCAAATGCAGGGTTAAAGCTCAAAATATATCTGTAGATTTCAAAATCAGAATTAATCAATCCATAGATAATCAGGAACACAGCAGCAAATACTCCTGCAAAATAAGTATTTTGTTAAATTTGTCTGTGGTCAATTACATATACAAAACTACTTGGATCAACTCAAGAAGAAATTAATCTACCTTCTGTTTATTAACTGAGAGCGTAAAAACTAAAAAGCGAACCAATTAATCTTAACAAATACAAATAAATGGTATCAACAATCTGACTCATACTTTCTCCTATAAGCCTATCAATAACCTTTATCAAGGGATGCATTTGGAGTAACTATGATATTTTATAGGGAAAAATCACCAAAGTTGCAAAAACTTTTGAACAGTAATTGTTACAGCAATGGGGGGTTGCACTATTTTGTTTAGAATAAGGAACATAACGCATTATTTGTAATCAAAATTACATGTATACAGGGTTAGTAAAAAGTGTGGAGACCCTTTGTTATTTTTTTAACAGCCCATACTAGAAAAACTAAAATTGGCACACCATTATGGCATGTTATGAAGTACTTTTTGGGCATAACCGCCACTTGGTGTACACCCCCAAAGTTGGGGATTTTGGGGGAAACTCAAAAATTTCAAACACAAAGACCCATCGAGTGACCCTTCATTTTGAAGGTCCTGATAAAAGAAAACCAACAACGCAAACTAGAGGTCTCTATCTCAATCCAGTAAAAAATGGCAGCCAATTGAAATTCTCAGAAGTTAAAATTAACTTACAGCTTTCCAAGTCTGGAGACCCCTTGTAAATTTTTTAAAGGCTCACACTAGGAAAACTAAACTCTACACACCTTTTTGGCATGTTATGAGTACTTGAAGTACATAAAGGCGTGCCGAGTTTAGTTTTTCTAAAATGGGCCGTTAAAAAAATAACAGGGGGTCTCCCCACTTTTTACTAACCCTGTATATGTAACGTTTTCCGCAATAAAAATTTCTGATTAGGTAGTTCAAACTATCCATTTTAAACCAGCTACGTCATAGCCCAAAAAATTGTGCTTTTAAGCAACATATTTTTTACTTACTTACTTACTCTTACTCCCAGGGCCATTTATATCGGAGGTGATATTTGGCCGCACCAACAAATCTTCGCCAAGTCAACCGGTCTTTCGCATCATCCTCCGTTGCCCCAATTCTCTCCAAATCTTCTTGCACTTGCTTCCACCACCTCTGCTTAGGTCTTCCCCGGGGTCGTCTTCCTGTAGTGTTTCCCTTTAAAACTCTTCCCAGTCTACAATCTTCATCTCTTCTTAATATATGACCAGCCCATCTGATTCTTCGGCACTTGATTTCTCCAATTACATCTGTGCTATTATACAGTTGCCTTAATTCCCTATTGTGTCTTATTCTCCATTCTCCTAGCTCGAATATTGGTCCAAAAATCTTCCTTAAAATTTTTTTTTCGAATACTATTAGTTTCTTTTCATCTCTTTTATTTAATTTCCAGGTTTCTGATCCATATAGGAGAACTGGGCAAATTATTGTTTTGTACAGCCTGATTTTTGTTTTCCGGGACAAAGATTTTGATGAAAGTAATTTATTGCAAGCATGAAAACATTTATTTGCTGAATTTATTCGGCTTTGGATTTCTAGTTCATCAGTATTTTGGTTGGATATAATTACTCCTAGGTATTTAAAACTGTTGACTTTTTCAAATGTATGGCCATCAATTTCTATTGGTTCTTCAGTATTATCCAGGTATCTTGAAAAGTGCATGTACTTAGTTTTTGAATCGTTTGTTTTTAGGCCTACTTTTTCTGTTTCTTTCATAAATACTTCGGTTAAGGCCTTCAGATCTTCTAGTTTTTCTGTGATTATAACCACATCATCTGCAAAGGCTAAGATGTTTATTTTGGTTCCTATTTTCACTCCTATGTTCTTCTCTGCTACCTTCTGTAGAGCTTCTTCAATGGCAAAATTAAATAGGATCGGTGATAGCCCATCTCCTTGTCTGACACCAGAGTTTACTTTAAAGGTGTTACAGTTGTGGCCATCAATTCTAACTGAACATTTAGATCCTGAAATACTCATTTTAATTAAGGCTATAATTTTATTCGGTATGCCGAATTTTCTTAGCTGTGTCCACAATTTGTCCCTTCTTATGCTGTCGTAAGCCTTCTGAAAGTCGATAAATAAGGCATAAAATTCTTTATTGAACTCCCAATAATTGGCTACTATTTCTTTTAAGATAAATATTTGGTCAGTTGTCGATCTACTCTTCATAAACCCCGCTTGATGCTCACCTATCAACTCGTGTGAGTATTGTTCTAGACGGTTTAAAATAATTTTTGAGATAACTTTATATGGGATACTAAGCAGTGAGATTCCCCTATAGTTATCACAAACTTCTTTCTCACCCTTTTTATGAATAGGGATAATGACTGCTTCCTGCCACTCCATTGGCATTTCTTCTTGTTCCCATATTTTTGTAATTAAATTCCACAGCTTTTCCACTATTATGTTTCCTCCTCTCTTTATTATATCTGCTGTTATTTCATCTCTTCCAGGAGCTTTGTCATTTTTCAGGGACTTAATTGCATATTGTACTTCTTCTTTTGTTGGTGTCTCGATAAAGGGTTCAACATAAAAGTAAATGTCCTCATTGTTTTGATTTTCTTCTTCTGTCGGGGTGATTTCATCAACATTCAGCAGTTCCTCAAAATATTCGCGCCACCTTTCAAGGACCTTGACACTTTCAGTTAGTAGTTGCCCCTCCTTATTCTTTATTCCATATGTACAAGGGGTGAATCCTTTTTTTAAAAATCTTACTTTCCTGTAAAAATCTTTTGCATTGTTTGCTGTGTTTTCTTCTTCAGCCCTATCTAGTAAACTCTTAATATATTGTCGCTTTTTCCTCCTCAGGAATTTATTTGTCTCCTTATTTGACTGGTTGTACATCAACCTGTCTTCTTCATTGTTGCTATTCATCCATACATTTTTCCTCCTAATCCTTTCTTCCAACATTTGTTCGCATTCACAATCAAACCAAGGTTTTTTGCTTTTTTTCTTTTTCTTTCCACATACTTCTTCTGCCGAATCTAGGACTGCTTCTTTAAAATTATTCCAGGTACTGTTGACATCTTCATCTTTATCTAAGTCTTCTAGAATCTTAAACCTATTCTCTAGTTTTATTCTAAACTCATCAGCTATCGGTTTAACCTTAAGCTTTTCGGTGTCTATTCGTCTTTCTTGTATTTCTTCCTTCCTCCTTTCAACAGCTATTCTTTGGTTTACCTTGACTAGGATTAGACTGTGATCAGTCCCACATTCTGCTCCTCTAATACTCTTTACATCTGTAATGCAACTTTTATGTCGTTGATCTACAAGTACATGATCAATCTGGTTTTTGGTCACGCCATTTGGTGATGTCCAAGTGTACTTGTGTATGTCTCTTCTGGGGAACATTGTACTGGAAATTTTGTAATCATTTGCAAGTGCAAGACTTGCCAGACGGGATCCATTATCATTTGATTCTTGGTGTAGGCTCTCATTCCCAATGGCTGGTTTCCAAATTTGTTCTCTCCCTACTTTGGCATTTGCATCCCCCAAGACGATTTTTAGATCAAAGCTTGGTAACTTTCCCACCACTTCATCTAATAGGGTGTAAAATTGGTCTTTATCCTCATCCTCTGAGTCTTCGGTAGGTGCGTATATACTGACTAGAGATATATTTTTTACCAAACCAAAAATATTGAACCAAGAAAAATGTTACTGTAACAGAGAAGTAAGATACAGAGAGAGGATACATCCAATGGTACCGGTACACTTAAGTGGTGTCTAGCATCAGTCGCTGGTGTCTGGAGCAAATTCTATTCGTCGTCCCCTTCCGCTCTCCTTCCTCCCATGCTATCACGTACTACAGTGCTCACGCTTAAGGAAGACCCTTTGCACTACAACCACTATACAACAATAGGCCTATGTGGCCATCGCCATTCCAGCTCTTCCTTGCTCGGTACAAGTACATTTATGCCTTACCTTACAACAGCTAAGAGCGGTTGTCCCATAAGCTTGTATCCTCTGTATCTTACTTCGCTGTGTTACAGTTAGGTGTAAACATATCACATACAAACCTGTTATTAGGTTGAGAACAGTAAATATTGCTGAAGCTTTGATAGAGCTACTGACTAGGAAGCTGAAGAAATGTGCAAATGTTATTCCGCTGATACCATACAATGCAAACACACCGATCAACGTTCCTAGAAAAAAATTATACAGGTTAATAATATAAAATCCGCTTTCATGGAATCAATAATAGGTCCTTAATTTACTCTACAAAATAATAATTATGAGTATCGACTATTTAACAGTCATTATTACAGTACAATAAAATAAAAAGATTTTCACAAGTTTTGAAAAGTGTTTTTTTGAGACATCAACTTTGATGTACATTGTACAGCAGAACCTTGGGTTTTTGTATTACCAAGGACATGAAAAACATTGGATTTATGATTTATTAAACTCAATGGTGATTTATTTTTACTCTGACATTATTTTTTTTTAATTTTCTATATAAGGAATATGCTTTTTAAAGGCAATTCCAATCAGAAGATTTAAGGGGATACAATTTATTCTGGGTTACATTTTACCTAATTGTTCATACAGGGGATATTAGCGAATTTCACATAAACATGAATTTGAACGGATTGTGTTTTTGGCTTCTGGGGGCATCAAAATGAAAAATTAATTCAGCCCCAGTCTACGATGTCACCTACCCTAATACCTTCTTCGCTGTAGGTGAAATTCACAAACATTCCCAATATTTACTCTAGGTTTTACAATCTGTCAAAACCTACTCACCCATGTATCCAGAAGACGTGTAAATGTCCATTTTTTGAAACACGCACACCATGGCTATGCAGAGTAACATCGTTATCAAGTAAATGATGTAATCTGATACGACATTCACCATCCAATAGAGAAGTGGCGACACTCCGCTCATGAGCTGAAGTTGTTTGGAGTTTGACACTCTCTCGTTTAGTGGAAATGAGATGAAACTCATTGTAACAACCAGTAAACCAAGAGAGAGTAAGATTACGTAGCTTGGAAACTGCATTATCAGTAGTACAGAACTATTGGCCAAGTCGCAAACATTTTCCTGCAAACAAATCCCAGTTTTTAAAATTGTTTAACAGTTTTTTTGAAAAATTCTTCGAATTGGATGCAACCACACACCTGCATGCTAATTGATTGCTAAATTAATTGATCTATTCGCTTAATAACATAGCATAACTTGATCACTCAATGGTGTAAAATCAACTGGGTTACAAAAATAGTAAAAACCTGTATATATTTACTGATAACTTTGAGTGCTGTGAATTGTATTGTATTTTAGAGGGGCAGACTCAGGATCCAGCACGTCAACCGTAGCTTACTTTGCATGCTCCACTTGCTGCTAACTAGGTAAGCCAATGCCCATGTCTTTGACTAGGTTAGGAGCTTTGCCCAACGTTAGCATCTGGTTCGTCACCTGGCTGTTTTTGATCAATCCAAGTCCCTAGCAATCCAGAATCTGATCTTTACAGTCTGATTGGATTGTTTACATAGTCAATGATGGTTCCCAGAGTTTGAAGGTGTTTGGTGAAATACTCCTGCGACTTTACCCTCATCCGACCTACAGGGAACCTCTGGCCATCTTTGAAAGTTGTTCTGCCAAGGGTGGAGTGACCGTTGCACCTCTAGGGCGCTTGGTCATCCTCATCTCAACATTAGGACCCACAATTAGGCCTGGTGTTCCTCATCTGGTCTTGGGGGCTTCTTTGAGATATGGTCTTGCTTTGGGTAAGCAAACCTCTGAAGTGTTGGTGATGCAGCTTCTGGAGTTTTGTCAATGTTTGGTTCTGGTAGGGTTTAGGTTTTCTAGAAACAATAACGTAACCACCAGTCAACTGCTGGTATTCTGAAACTCGAGCCCAGGAAAACCCCGCTTCCCTGGGTAAAGCTATGTGAATTACTTCTGGTACTGAAGTAGACATCCCTTATATACAGGGTTTTCAAAAAGACTGGGAACGGCAATTTATTTTTTGAACCATTGCATAGAATGCAAGAGTGCTTTGCAAATAGATTTTCCCTCTAAAGCTGTTGTTTGCTAGACATGTAACAGATGCGCTATGTTTGCGTATCCAAGCCCCAGTACACTTGTTTTCACAGTATCGTCCATGCGGTTCCCTGGACTGTGAATCAAAGGCGCATGTAAACTAATATGTGAGTGCAGACTATTTGTTGCGGCTTGGACTGTCTGCTCTCCGGGAACAGCCACTCTCAGCTGCGCTGTCGCAAAGACACAAATGATACATCTTAAAGAATAATAAATCAACTTTAAACTGCTTTAATTTACAGCAAAAAGATTTTGCAAAACATAGGGTCTACGAAATATTTAATTTTTCCTTAAATTTAAGATACACTTTAAAAAAAAATTTTAGATGCTGCAGTACAGTATTTATTTATTTATTAGGATAGCAAAGTAAGAAAACTGTTCCTAAGTTAAGTGTTCTTTGAACTTAACTTCGCTGTCTTGCAGATGACCAGAAACTCTAAAACACATGCAACAACAACACTTACCCCATTCTCAATCACAATTGGATGGTTGTAAGTTGTGATACTAGAGCTGGCGTTATTCACTTGTAGAAGAGTATTGGCGATCATATTGAGAACCAGGGAAGAAGAGTGTACAAACATGGAACCGTAACCACCGTAAAACGTACTGCTGTTGTACTTGAATGCAGCTATCATCTGTCTTTCATACTGTACTAAGTTTTTCTTTATTTGCTGGATTAAATCTGTAACAGAAAAGAAAAAGGCCTATGAGCACTGTTTGGATAAAAGAAAACCAGCTGCAGCAAACCTGAGGACTAGGTGAATTTCCATTTTCCTGATTAAAATTTACACTAAAATTAAAATATTTCCTTAAAAATGTCAGACTGATTCCCTTTTAAATTAAAATGAAGGACAATGAGTAATTAGGTTTGCTGCTACAGGGAAGGTAAAAAGTGTTTTTTTCCTAAAAAGTTTTATTAAAATAGAATGTTACAAATAAATTTTACAAATTTTATCAACATGCATAAACGAGTAAAGGACAGCAGTTGTCTTCTTTTCCATAAGAATAACCTAGAACCTAGGAATTTAAATTTTGAATGTACAACAACGCTTCAATATACAAAATTATTTGTTTTTATAAGCTCTAAAAAATGGCTCCAATGCATTCCACTGGATTGCAGGAAGATCAAATATTTTTTGACCAGGCGATTTATGCAGTTGTGTTCATGAAAGCTTGGCTTGAACTTGATTTTACAACTTTGTGCTCAAACTCTCAAGCTTGTAGTTTGGCTAAAAAATCCAGCTACTTGAACACAGCTAGTCTTTTGGTTATTCCAATATAGAGTCAGTTTTAATACTTTTAATAACTAATTCTGAAATGGCGACCATAAATACTGTAATAGGTATTTTAAGCCAAGTATGATTGGAGATGAGTGTAGGATGAGTGGAGTGACCTTGTAGTCTTGTTACATCTTGTACTAAGGCCGACACAGCTGTTAAATAATTGCCCATACAGCCAATGGCAACTAAGGGACCTACTTTTTATAGTGGAATACGAACCAAATTTTTGCCTTGTAATCAACGGATTGGTCTAATTATTAGGATAGTACTGCAGATAGTTGTAGTACAAACTAGTGCAGACGTTAATCCACAACAAAGTATCTACACAGTGCATGCCTATAAATATCCACAATCCGTGACCTCCAAGTAGCTGGATTACAGAACAAGACCAGGGTTCACAACCTTCCCTTAGAAAGATTTACAGCGTTTCGACAAAAACACAGTTAACTACTGAATAAGAACGTCACTCACAATCGTTAAAGTCTACGTTGTTGGGAATAGCTTCATAGACACCACCACCAGACGTAACAATCTGTTGAAGTGCGGACCCTATTGCCGGGCTTTCAGAGGAGGCAGCAACATGGACTTGAGGGAAAGAGTTCAAGCTGATCCGAAGGGAAGGTTGCACCGGAGAATGATTTGTCTTCATAGTCATTCTGATCGTCAAAGCCGTTAGCAGGACTGGGATTATAATCTGAAAATCAAATTTGGTAAATCAAAATAAAAGTATCTTTCAGTTTGGATGTATAAATTTGATTTTGAAAAAAGTTCTGTATGAATTAGGTGAACAGCTGTCAATTTAGCTTGTTAGGTAAAGAGGTCCAGTTTCTAATTGGTGACAGAAAGTTGGGGTTACTGAAAATGTTGTTTCAATCTACTATAAATAATATTGAAAAAATGAACAAATAACTAAAACACTTTTGAAAATTGTTTCATTTTTAATACTCACGACAATCAATGTGCTTATCCAACTTCTAAGCCTGGCCAACATCCTTTTGACAACTAGTGCTTTAAGCTGTTGCCACATAAGTCCCAATCCAGATAACTTTTTGTATTTGTGGGCTGTAATAAGACAAAATTAAATAGGATATATCAGAATCTCAAAAAGGATTTGTAATAATGTAAAATATGTAGTTGTAGAATAAATAAAGTTTCAAATGTATGCAGAAATACTCTGTATTAGTTGGAGAAAAATCTTTACTTTAAATGAGTAATAGTAGACTCAATGCTTGTTTTTATATTGGTAGTGCTTTTCTTTTAACAGATTAAGACCCAATATGCCCACTGGTGGATAAAACTTAAAATTATAGTTTGAGTCTTTGTAGCCTACACCTTATTATGAGATTACACAAAAAAACATTTCATTACTGACCATTTTTCAATAACTCGGAAAGACTTTAAAAGTAGATTGGATTATATAGAAGTTATCCATGCAAAGTTATGTTTTATTTTTTAATTAGAAGATTCTCAGAATACTTGCCTTGTCCCCCATTAGTCTGGACATTTGACTCCATCTGGTTATCTGGCTCTTCTTCAGCAACTCTAAATGAAAATAAGGAAAATATTTAAATATGCCAAAGACGTATTAGTCTTACAACTACAACTGAGCATAAATTTAAATTAATACACCTGGCTAAATAGTAAATATTTCAGCAATAAGTATGGTCAAAAAGCATTCTTTAAAAAACACTAAGGACAAAGAACAAAAGTGTAAAAAAAATGCTTAAAATATATTAAAACAACGAAATATTAAAAATAAAAATAAATTAACTCTAAACATGGTGAAAATGAAAAAACTCCCCTGGTTAAGTTGTGAAGTTCAAATTATATTTATATGCTTACAAAAGTCTTCTGAGAGTGTTACAATATACAATACAATATTCTGGCCAGAAGTGCAGTCGGCCAGGTTGGCAACACAACATACGTAAAACAACAGTTAGAAAAAATAATTTAAACTACAAAAATATAAATTATTATAGTATTTTTGAAACTACTAGCTTCTTCTTCAGTAAGTGCAATGTTCTTGTCCTGCCTGGATAAAATATCAGTATTTTTACTGTACCAAACAACATCAGTACTTAAGATAAGACTGGCGTTCCGATATATCCACCCCGAAAAAAACCCATCCCTGAGCCATCTTTTGCAAAACTATACATAGTGAATAAATGATCTAGCCACACCAACAATATTTTAAAATATTACCTGAGAAAGACGTCCTCCATTGTTGTACAGCTGATGCTAACTGCTGTCAGGCCCAATTCCATTCTCCAGCTGTCTAGAGCTGAGAACAACGCGGGGAACTGTGGCGACTCGTTAGATTTTATGTTGAAACTCAGCTGTGATGGCGACGACACCTTCATCGAGGCACTAACAACATTTCAGACGTTAAATAATGCATCAATGGTAATCTTATGAAACATGAAATATGTGTGGCAAACCTGAAGTATATGATTCATGTTTTCGGCTCCTGGACTATATTGTTAAGACAATAATAGGTTTTTTACATACCTCAGTCAAATAGTCCAAAAATGGTATTGCTCAATCACCATGCTAAAGCGACAGTGGCGGCATACATTGCGACTTTAGAGAGCTACTGAGCTAATCGCCAGAGTTCCCTCAGGCTCAAAAAGCGTTAACTCATATTTTTCTGTATTGGTTCAGTTATTGCCTTTAGAATTTAATAGCCCAACTTAACTTATCACCATTAGACTCTCTAGTCACACATAAAAGTAATCAGTGCCCATCTCATCTGGTCACTGACAGAGAGAGATCTGGCTCATCATGGTATTGTTCTATCTCACCTGGTCACGTATTGTTCTATCTCACCTGGTCACGTATTGTTCTATCGCACCTGATCACGTATTGTTCTATCTCACCTGGTCACGTATTGTTCTATCGCACCTGGTCACGTATTGTTCTATCTCATCTGGTCACGTATTGTTCTATCTCACCTGGTCACGTATTGTTCTATCTCACCTGGTCACGTATTGTTCTATCTCACCTGGTCACGTATTGTTCTATCTCATCTGGTCACGTATTGTTCTATCTCACCTGGTCATGTATTGTTCTATCGCACCTGATCACGTATTATTCCACCTAACCTGATCGGATATTGTTCCCTCTAACCTGATCACGTATTGTTCCATTCAGTGCTCGATTTCTAAAAAAATTATGTGCCGGAACTGTAACCTATTTAATGTGATTTGTACCTATTTGTTTACCTATTTATGCCAATATATTTATGTTTCAGAAAGAGATGCACTGGAACTCTGTTCCGCCATGTTCCCCCATAAATCGAGCACTGGTTCCATCTAACCTGATCATGTATTGTTCCAGCTCACCTGGTCACATATTGTTCTATTGCACATGGTCACATTGTTCTATAACCTGTGAGGTTTCTATTGTGAGGTATCTTACCTGGTCACGTATTGTTCTATCACTCTTGTAATGGGAGACACTTGAGCAGTCTCCAGTTTTGATATGTTGAGATGATAACCAGTGCCTGCAAACATAGAGCAAAAGAAATAAAATTAAATAGGTATTTATTTATCCAGCAAAGTATATATGAAATCAAAACTGGTGCACTCATATGCACATTTGATGAACTATATCTGGCCACCACTTCAATAAATTTTTTCCTTTGAGACTTACCGTAGAGTTTCTTGAGAAACATTGTAGTACCGTAACAGCTGACTTGTCCATGATCCATAATGGCTATTCTGTCCCCTAAAACATCTGCTTCCTCCATGAAATGAGTCGTGATTATTGTTGTTCTTTGCTCTCTGAAACCCTGAAAGAGATAATTCAACTTCACAAACAGAAAAATATTATACAAGGTGAGTTTTAATTGTCCCCCTCCACTTTTTTCTTAATTTTTTAAAATATGAATCCCAGACCACTTCCAAACATTGTTGGGTAGTATAAGTACTCCATTTTGACAAAGTGGTCATTTCTGTCCGCCATCTTGGATTCACCATATTGGATGCAAAATATTTTTTTTCAAACATTAGGGTGAGGTTGTGACCCATTATTTTAAACTATATTTTTACCCTGATTACAATGCCACAAACCGTTTTTAAAAATCTTGATCCATTGATAAGTTATGAGGGGTTTTTTAACTTTATTTTTAAATCTGAACTTTAGCTCCTTTTAACATTGAGCATTTACAAACTAAGACCATAATCTCAAAATAGTGCTAGATAAAGATAAATAAACACCACCAGTCATTGTCGACCTATTTTTACTTGGTTATGACTGATGTAATTTTTATTCTGTCATTTTGGATCCATCATTTTGAAATGTGATAAATTATTTGAAATATGGAGGTGGTGTTGTGACCCATTATTTCAAATCACTTTTTTTAAAGCTGAACTCAATGCCGCAATAAGTTTTTTTGTTAGTTTTCTTTATGAAATATTGGATTTTTTTATTTAAAATGTTAAACACAGCTGGTACAGTAAAGTCATACATACCAACAATATATCCCAAACTTGTCTCCTTGATTCTGGATCCAAGCCTGATGTGGGTTCATCTAACATCAAAATCTGAAAATCAATATAAAGTATATAACAAGAGTACCGGTATTTCAAGTCGTAAATACCCCACCACAGCAAACCTGTGTAACGTGCCTATTTTGAGGGGGGGTCAAACTAGCCTACTCCTATGTCTAGGCTATGCCTAGGCATAGCCTACCAGCCCTAACTAAGGTTATAGGTTAGAAGGCTAACCTTAGTTATAACATCACTAGTAACTATAGGCATGATACACTGTTGTGTTTGGTAATAAATAAGTGTAGAACGAGAGTTATTAATACTGTATGAGCGTGATATGAACCTTATACAGTGTTTTATAGCTTATTGACTCACCAGCTATGTGTTTCGCAAGCTAGGGCTCAACCCGGCTTGGTACTTCGAAGAAACTTTCTACACTTAGTAAACCCGCAGATCATGGCCTTAGGCCAATAATCCGTCTCAAAGATGTGAGGAAATGCGGAGTGAATAATATAAACCGACAACTTGAAGTTAAAACTCATTGTCGTGTGAAACAAACACAACATAACCTACAGTCAACAAGAACAACCAGCTCGAGCGACTGACGATTTAGCTTTTTTCGGGTTAGCAAACAGCAGACGTTCTAGGATCAGCTGAGCCCCCTACTTTGTTAGAGAGGGGAGCGAGAGGGATGAACCGAGGAACCCTCAGACGGCATGTAAGAAAGTTAGTTCCTCACCAGCCACGAGATAGGAGAGTTCCTCACCAGCTACGACAGCGATCATCTCAAGAGCTCTTACGTACTAAAGTAGAGTACCGAGATCGTCGTAATAGTTTATTGGTAAAGCATAGTTAACTCGTGTGACTCTTCAATACAAATTGTAAGTCTTATAGTTCAATAGATAAGGTAAACCGAGTTAATTATTGCCAGGGTGTAAAATACTAGTTTTTAATGTCAGTTTTACTAGATTTTATTTTCACTCCTGTTAAACCAATGGACTTAGGCAAAGTTGGATTGATTACGATGGTGTGTTAAACCCATAACGTAACGAATAAATATTACGAGGCCAGTGTATTTTTAATCCATTTCAGTAAGCCCAAAACAATTTAATCTCATCATACGAATTTATTAGTAGTAGCCAGTGACTACTAAGATTAGTTGTGCTAGTTTAGCACGTCCCGATCGGCACGCATGGCGTGTTGGTAGTAGTGGCCTTAGGCCTGAGTTTTACGTTGTTTTATGGTTTCAAACTACGTGTTTGCCATAAAGATGTTAGAGATGAATGGAAACCAGAAGTGGATAGTTCGTTTCGGCCTTAGTTACTTTATTAATAGTGGGGTTTGTTTGCTTCGTTGGAATTGCCTCCAACCTTAGCTATTTTCGTTTAAAGTAACAAGGCATTTTTATTTCCTTCTAACTAGTAATTTAATCTCTATTTAACGATGTTTGGTTCGTGTCATGTGAGATAATCTGTGACTAACCCTTTGAGTATAATTTCATGTTTAATGATTTGAATGTGTTCTAATCTTTTATGTCATGAGTTTACGACAGGTGATGGGATTGTTTTGGTGCGATTGGATAGCGTTGGCCTATGGTGTGAAACCATTTGACGTCTGGGACTGGCGAGTCGGTGTGGACTCAGCGTGTCTTCGGCAGCTGTGGTAGTGTGTTGAACCTACCTTTGGTGACGACCAACTCACGACACTGGAACCAGCGACTCGTTAGCGGACGGAAGATTGACGTAGAGCAGTCAGCCAGCTTACGACGATTCTCGAACGGCTGGGGTTGTGTGATAAACCAACCAGAGGAACTCACATCACGCTGTTGGCCAGCTTCAGTGTACTTCGATTGATTATCCAGCGGCAGTGGTTGCGTGATAAACCAACCATTGCAACGGAGAACAACGGTCAGCGAGACAACCGGGGCTTGGTCAACGTGTACCCAACGAGTGTTGAACCGTTGTGGTGGATCTTGGCGTGGTGTAAACCCAAGAAGAAGCTCACATCGGGGGTGGCAAACGACAACTACGAACGGACGGCCACCACGGGACTCACTGCGGCGGACGGGGCAGTGACACATGTCTGTGTGAGAAACCGGACACTCAGGACGTCAGCGACAAAAACGTACGAGTAGGCTCCCCGGCTGTAGTACCGATATAGGGCGCGCGGGCTGGAAAACCCAGGCCGCGGTGAAGACCAGGTGAGGATGGCAGAGCCCCAGCCTATGACGACGAGTGGGGGGGTGGAACGCACCTCAGCCTGTAGCCGTGGTCGACGGGTGAGCTCGAACCCTATGCTACAGTGGCGGGTTGAGTCGGCTAAGTTCAAGGTACTGCGACATCACGAGTCTGTGTGCAGAACCAGACACCCAGGACGGAGGCGGAGACCGACAGGACCGAGGACTACCGGCTGTAGTCTCGATTGGGGCCACGATGGACGCCCAGCCTGCAGTGAAGGCGTAGTAGCTGCGACGTTAGGTGGGCGATCCGAACCCCGACTACAGCGGCAGGCGGAGCTCCCCAGGTACCGCTAAGACGCTGGGATCTGTGTTGAACCAGATTCTCCTGGGGCTACATGTGGACATGTAGACGATTCGGGGATGACGACTAACGACAATGGAAGGTCATCACGTCTCACTGCGGTGGAAGGGGCAGTGACAGGGGTCCGTGCGGTGAGCCGGATTCCCATACGACGACGACAACGACAGGGGTCCGTGCGATGAGCCGGATTCCCACGATACGACACCAGCGACTAGTGTTCCTGCAACGAGGAGGACACACTTACGACTGAGACGACAGGTATCCCTGCAACGTGCAGGATTCCTGACAACGGCAGAGACAGGGGTCCGTGCGATGAGCCGGATTCCCATACGATAGTCTCAAGCCCCCACGTAGTACGTCACATTTATGGCGCCCGAACAAACGACGGCAACGCCGGTATCCCTGCAACGAGCAGGATACCTATACGACGACGGCGATGACAGGGATCCGTGCGATGAGCCGGATTCCCAGACGACAGCACCGACAGGGGTTTGTGTGAGAAATCAGATGCCCAGACGACAGCGGCGACGGATGGGAAGTATGACCCAAGTCTGCAGTAGCATCAACGGTGGTCACAATAGACCCAGCCTGCAACGACGGCCAGGTGAGGCCGGATGAGCCCCAGCCTTCTACGACGAGTGGGGGGGGGGGGGGCGGAATGAGCCTCAGCCTGCGGCTGTGACGACAGGAGGGTGACAGTGGACCCCAGGCTACAACGGCAGACGGAGTCAACCCATACTTGGTGTGCAGAACCCAAGTGCCTGGCTGGATGTCGTGTGCTGAACACGATAACGATTTCGGGGGTGGCGACTAGCTTCCATGGAAGGCCACCACGTCTAACTGCGGTGGAAGGGGCAGTGACCGGTCCGTGAGGATTAATCCGGACTACGGCGACATCTGTGTGATGAACCAGATGCTCGAGATCTTCGACGCGGTAAACCTCAGCCAAGGCGACGGCACGGCTGAGTGTGAAGGTAACGTCTTGACGCGAACCCCGGAAGGCCAACCCAAATCTCCGTACTGAGGCCTATCCGGAAACTAAATGTGCTGTATAGCACGTGGTACTTAAACCTGGCATGTAAACTAGTGTTACATGTTTCAGTGTGGAAAAGTACGTCACACCTGCAATTAAACAAATTTCCATTTGCCTGATGGGATTTTCACTGAAATTTTTTCATAAACAAGTCACATTTATATCCTTTTCACATCACATTAGTTTTGATTAGCTAGTATTGTAGGTAATAACTAGGTTTGCTGCTACAAGGGAGGTATTCAAGTGTGATTTTGGAAAATTCCCCATATAAGTATTAATTAGGTATTAATAAGTAAATTAGTTGAAAATTGGTATAAACGTGTAAACCCACTTTTGTTCGATAATGGGAACAGATGTTTAAGGGGGGTTTATAAGGTAAAAATCAAATTTTTGCATTTTTGACACTAAAATCACAAAATTTTGCTATTTTTTTCCAAATCATTTGGTAGATTTTTAAAACAAATAATTCAGTATGTTGAAGCATTTTCATTGAACTTCATGTTAAGGAGAAAATTTTAAAAGACAATTTGTATGTAATTTTTATTGGGGATAAGATAAGTGAACTGTTGTAGTTTGCTCCGTTATGAACATATTTTGATCAAATTTGGAAAATATATTAATTTCCTAATAAACAATTAAAATTAAAAACAGCTGTTTCAATGGAAGACAAACTTATCTTGAACAGGTTGGACAATGGAACATTTTTTAAATTTCAATGGTTTTTTAATCCTGTTTAAGATGGTTTTTGTTAAGTGTTATCCGACCATGATTGATCTGTGTAGGATGGTCGAGCCTCTGCTCCAACAACCATGCTAAATCTGCTAAACATAATTTCATTGTGGGCTCTATTCTTAGATATCAAAAAAATAATTCTCGAGGAAAAATATTTCCGCCTTACCTCAGGGTCTCCCATCAGAGCAATACATAGACACAGTTTTCTCTTCATCCCTCCAGACAGTTTTGACACCAAGTCGTTTTTCTTCGCATCAATCTTGAATGTCCTCAGTAACTGAAGGCCGTCCCTCTCAGCTTTACTGTTCGGCAGCCCTTTCAGCTGAAGAATAAGAATAACAATCAAAACTACTTTCTCCCCTAAGGGCAGAATCAGATACTAGATTTTAAAACGTCATGAAAACTTGTTTTTAATAAAAGTGGTGGATAATGTAAGCAATAATCCCTCTAATAAAATCTATAGGCTACTAGTTATCAATAAAATAAATTAATACTCACAATTAGTTCACAATATTGCCAGTTTTTAGCAAAAACGCAAAACCCAGGTCCCAGTTTAACTCCGAAAGAGATATTCACGAAAGGTGTGCAATGTGCACTTTAAGCTTAACAGTTTTCCCCAACTCTGGTACAAAAACAGCTTAAAACATTAAAGTTTCCGAAATAAAATTTAAAAACATATTTAATAAAATAAAATACCATTCCAAAGAAGACGAGATGCTCAAGCACAGTGAAGAATTGGAAGAGCAGATTGTGCTGAGGACAAATACCGAGATTGCTGCGGAAGTCGTCCATGTTGTCAAATATGTTGCGCCCCTTGACTATCACTTGACCTCCCGATGGCGAGAAGAAACCTGCGGAACACAACAGAACTCAAGTTTATTTGTGTTTCCATGCTGTTAGCATTTGTATACAAGATATGCAAATAAAACTCCCACTATTCATGCGTTGTGGGTCTAAAGTAGCTCTTTTACTCCCTAGAGAGTAAAAAGCCTTTTTATTTCCTAGTGAGTAAAAATCTGCTGTTGTAAACTTTGTTGTAAACATTAATTGTAAGCAATTGCACTTATCAAAATTATTTATCAATTGATTTAATCAGTTGTAGCTTATTGTTGCATTACTGTCAATAGTTTGACATAACGATATTAATGTACACTAACAAACACAATTTTAATAGACGAAATAATTAATTGAACTACTTAGCCTACTAAACAGCTGCTTAAGGCATTAGCAAAATTGAAAACAAGTTCGAAGTCGATTAAACAGGGTCTAGGTCTTTCCTTCCGACCTTAGGTAATATCTTATTCCCTACGCAAAATTTGTTAAAAGGCTTAAAACACAACCTTTTAAAATATGTCGATATTACTAACCTGCAATCATTGACATTGTGGTAGTTTTCCCAGCGCCATTATGCCCCAATAGAGCAGTTATGTTGCCTTCGTAAATGTCCAGATCCACATTTTTTACAGCAAAAACTTTGTTGTTAAATGTTTTGCGGAGGTTCTGGATTTTGATACCAATCTTAACACCATTAGGTGGCTCTTCATAATTTCTCTGATTCCTTCTCGCTTGTGATGAGTTTGAATCATAGTCGTTTTTCTTAAAACACTGGAATCAAATAACAAGCAAAACAGTGTTTAATGAACATTAGTGAGTTTCCATGTTTCAATGGTTTTATCAAGCTAATATAATTTTAGGCAAATTTATAATGCCATACCTATAATCGAAATTGTACAAATAGATAATCACGGCTGCCTTAATAAATGGTTTGGTGGGCCCGAGCCCAAGTGCATTAGAGGGTTGGGTTTAGATTTGTCGGGGGTGCAAGGAAGAAAAAAAAGTATTATTCACAATTATAAACTTCTCTGGGTTGTAAACAGAGGTTTTTTTTAAGAATGATACTGATACTGATACTGATACTAATTTTATACACATTTGTTAAGTTTATGATCACTGTCAGATACTAGATTTAGTACTATTATTATCATTTCTGATACTAGGAGAGCGAGATAGTCTAGTGGTAGGGTGCTGAACTTTGGTCCCTGAGGTCAATAGTTCAAATCCCACTAAATCACCAGTGGATTCTATGCCGCAATTGCGCAATGCATACATCTAGCCTGAAGTAATGTGAAGAACGATTCTGGGCTTTTGCCTAGATTAACCTGAGATTAAGAGTCCAGAGGCTAATATATAAGCAATAAAAGAAAGTACATAACACAAATATTTTGTCCTGACGTAGAACTTCTTCAGAAGAAAAATCACCCTATTTATATATACTCTTTTAAACTTACTCTTTTAACATTCGGAAAAACCTTATATCCTAACAGACCTCTTTGAAGCCTAGGCATTTGAGCTCTACAGATCAACTTTAGGAATAGTTAAAGTTAGTTCCACCTAACTATCTCTATTTTCACTAACCTGAAAAATGAATAGCAGAGACTTGGCTCTGCCGTAAGGTCCAGGTTTGACATTATCCATGTACCATGTGATAAAGGTATATAACACTATCTGTACTAGGAACATCAGTGCTGCCAACCCCACAGACACTCTGCCTCCTCCAGCTCCATCATCAAACAGGTCTGCCAATGTCCAGGTGTGACCTACAGAAGAGCACAGGTTTGACATTGTCCATGTACCAAGAGATAAAGGCACATAACAATATACTAGAAACATCAGTGCTGCCAACCCCACAGACACTCTGCCTCCTCCAGCTCCATCATCAAACAGGTCTGCCAATGTCCAGGTGTGGCCTATAGAAGAGCACAGGTTTGACATTGTCCATGTACCAAGAGATAAAGGCACATAACAATATACTAGAAACATCAGTGCTGCCAACCCCACAGACACTCTGCCTCCTCCAGCTTCATCATCAAACAGGTCTGCCAATGTCCAGGTGTGGCCTACAGAAGAGTGCAGCTGCTTACATTAAACCAAAGAGAATACAGTATAATAAAACTAAATTGTATGCAGTTGAGTTTTGTTTATAAAATTGATTGTAATTTGTAAATGTGTGTTTGTTATATGGTGACACTAAATTCACAGTTTCCAAGAATATACACTGATCCACAGCAAGTATGTGGTGAACCTTGCAGACAAACTGCATACTAAGGATACCCAGTAAAATGATCTTGCATTGTATTACTTTTAATCCACAAACATTGACTACCGTATTTCTACTGTGCCACCCTGTAGGCCCTACTATACAGAAAGAAAATTGACACCACACATTTTCCTTGCTCAGTTCCAATGGCAGTTGCAAGATTCAAACTTAAAATATTCAACACTCACCATTTTTGTTGAAGTTTTTGATGGTGTTAAGACTCCACTGAAGACCCGCTGAAGGCCACAAGCAGAACACGAGGTTCAGCCAGAGAGGGTATTGGTCTGGGGTGTTGAAGAAGTACACAAGCATCAACACCGACACGACCCACCACAGTATTAGAGCACTGACTATAGCCAGAGTACCTGTCATCAGCAAACAACCATCAGAACAATAAAACATACTTTAATTCAGGTACTGTGAACATGAAATGGAGTACAGTACCTTATTAAGTCAGTCTCCTTTAGGTAGATTTTCCAGATAACTCCGAGCGGTTTTTAATAAATAAACATAAATACAAATTTAGTATAAAAGATTTGTTTTCGTACAGCTATTGTCTTATATAAGTATTGATTGTGTTTTTGCTGATTTCACGCAACAACGTTTTTGTTGGCCATACTGTTCATCAAAGTCCATTTATATCTGTCTGGACTGTGTTTGTTTTAGTCTGATGAGTAATAGTGATTTTTTTTAAATTATTATCTTGTGTAAATATTTCAAAGTGTTTTTAATAGATAGTGTATATAAAGAAAATTATTCTAGGTAGGCCTATGTTCATTTCTTTTAGTTTTCTGCTCTTTGTTGTCTGTATAATTATAATATAACACTTGACGAACAGGTAGTGACTTTTTTACATGGCTTACGATAGAAAGACACGTTTACGATGGAGATGTGCGAGTCATATCAATCCAAACCATGATGAAGTAACAAAAAAAATCCAACCGAGAGAGAGTTTATGATGCCGAGGGCTGATTTCCCCACACCAAAAATATTTCATTTAAATTCTAATTTGATTTAATCCATAACCTTAAAACACTAGTTGTTTTGTCTGTGCTTTTTAACAGGATAAAAATACTTTTAAAAAAATGTGGGTCTCCATAAATATAGTGTAAAAAATATTAACACACACCTACCATGCAAATTATACAGACAAATCTCAATCGTACTTATTGCTTATTTCAATGAAAATCTCTTTTGTATTTTTACTAAACTGTACGGCAAAATTTGCAACTAATAAAGGTAATGTAAACATCTAAAAAGAGAATCAAAAGACAGGGAAAAGTGAACAAACTATAAATAAAAAAATCTAACAGCTGATGCATCTTCAATATTTGAAATGTGATTTTAAATACAGCCATTTGTGCCATCTACACACAGTGACAACGCTTTGAAACCCACTTTTTTGGGTTCCAGGGGGACCCAAAACCAATATTACCACCCGAAACTAAACAAATTTGACAAAATGAATACGCCTGTTCTCTTCATATACACAGAGGAAGTAAAAAGTGTTATTTACCATTGGTGAAAAATGTACTGATCGCAAATATGAGCATGATGAATCCTAAAGCGAAGAGTAAAAACAAGACCCAAACAGCTACGACGTTGGCGTCGACTACTGGACCAGCACCAAAATCCGTCGTCATCATCCAAGCTATGACCAGCGTTACAGGGATGTAGACGGTTAAGGCGTAGATCATCCATCCGACCCAGTTGACACAAGACTTCAACCCCATGATCAACATCAGTTCCTGTGACAGATAGACGGGTAAATAGAATATAACTGGATAAATTTTTGGTGATAATAGAAAAAGTTTTAACTTTACATTTTGATTAGAGTGGTTGTAGCTGAAAAGTCGACCGAATGAAATTGAATAGGTATATTTGGGATAAACGGGTCTTCAGAAATTTTCAGGAAATTTTAAATCTCTTTCTACGAGACGAGATTTTATTCGAATCATTTTATCAAGACAAAATTATAAAAAAAAATTATAAAATATAACTGTTAAAAAGGCTTGCAGAAAGTCAATGCAATAGCAATACAGGAGCGAGATGTTGTTGCATTTTCTTTGGGAAGATATTCTTATTTAATTAATTCCATGTAAATATTGCTTTATTTTTTTTCTTTTGACGTCGCAAATGATGAGAAGTTTTGTTAAGTGTAAGCAGATTGAGACATTTACTACTGTAAACATTCTAAAAATAACACATGACTGAAAAATTGTTACTTGATACTTAACTAGTAAGACTGATGTTTTAGACTGATAAATTTTGTATTTTTCAAAATTGAACTATATCTTAACAGATATTACCATGTTTCCTATGCGTAAGGGTTATTTTTAACATGTTTGCTGCGGCCCACCAATGGCTGGCGCAGCCCCGGTGCGGCACAGCTTCGATTGAACCCGTTTGGCTTTTAAATATTTCGGTCTGACGAATAGCAAATGATGTGCAGTGATATGCTGCGTTATGACGAGAGTTGACATAGTTTGCTAAAACACTCACAGATAGCAGCATTGTCTGGAACTAGCTGGTCCCATCGTATTTCCAATTGGATGAGGGAGAAAGACGGGACAACAAGTTGATTTCTAAGCTTGCCAGAAGGGAATTTTATAGGGAAATTTACTACCAACCTACACAACAATAAAACACCCATTCCTAGCTAAATGCAGCCATAAAAATACCCGTTCTTCCCAATTGAATGGAATGTCGCCACTCACGGATGAGCGTTCAGCGTGGCAGAAAGAAACTAGAGCACTCACCGGTGAGTGGCTCGCAGCAAACGTGTTTAAGGTAGGCCTAATTAATATTGGTTTTTTTTCATACTGATGTTTTTATTGATGAGGATTTGAAATATTCTTACCTATTACTTTTTTTTTTTATTTAACCAGTTACCTGTCATAAATCAGTAGGTATTTAACAATGTTACAAAATTAGGTTAAAATGTCGAACGTGTATTTCCCGTTATGAGAAGGGAAAAGCCCCTCTCGATCTCGTCTAAAAATGTAATGAGAAATTTTTTAAAAATCACGTCTCATCTCGAACAAAAAATCCAATCTTGTCCATCCCTAAGATATCCATCTCCTTAACAAATTTCTGGTATGATAAATAAAACCAAATGTTTAGATACGATGATCCCCCATAAATTAAGGTCTCTATCGAAGCTTCCTCCCCAGCCAAGTCAGCTAGTTCAAGTCTGGGGCTAGTGATGTATTTCTTACTTTATCCGATTGGAGCAAAACCGGTTGTAGCTGAATTGTTGACTGAAGGCTTTAGAAATTACTAATTTATTAAAAATGTCAACCAATCTGAAAGTTTCCGTAGCAAAGCATGGGTATTATGCTAGTACTATTAAAAAACATTGTGAAAGAAAATAGACTTTCCCCCTAGTATAAATCACGTTTGATTAAATGTCTGTAGTCTCAGTCATTGAATGTTCAAGTAAATCACCAGTTCAGGAACGTGAATGGAGTGAAGTGTTCAAACGTAGAGAATTTATGGAAGTAGGGGAATTTTGGAGATGATCGAACACATATGCACGATGTTTTCATGGTATAAGCCGACTGCTGTTCATTAGTCTCGTATGAAGTAGTGACCAAAGTTAGGGAATTTTGCATTTGGATCACGGTGTGACAAAAGGGATTCTCGATTTGATATGGAATGTCTGTATGAGTTTGGTAAGATTTGTTAGCCTTGGAAGTATAACACACCGATTGGCAAGAAGGTTTTTGGTAAAAATCAGTGTCTTGATAGAAACTGTGATAATCAGGCCACTGCCACAAACCTTCTGCAAAACTCGCTAAGCTACGTATGCACGGTTTCTAAATCAAAACACTTTCCCGCACACATCTGTTAACTGGCAGATGTATGCAAAACAGTAGTCATCAGTGATTATTGATTACTGATTGACCCTCTACCTACAGACACCTAATCAGAGAAAGCAATTCATACTTGGCGGGGAGCATAAATTTTTATTTAGGTACTATGACTAGAAAAATTATTCCCTATGGGTGGGGAATCAGCTAGAATTATAATAGATAAAGTGAAGAACATAATGTTATTCCCAGATTTTTCTTTGCTACAACAAAGTATCTATTGAAACTTTATTTTCACAGATGTCCCTCATCTATCTATATAATTAATACGCTACATGAAACTTTGTTGGTTGAACTCCTCTGCCATTTCTTAACCGATTTTATCCATTGACGTCTCATTGAAAAGAGCGTGTCGCGTAGATTTGCAAACTGGCCCTACATTTTTAAAGTCCCTCTTGAGCTCTGCCCCAGTGGCTGTTAAAGTTCCCATGTTATCCTTATGAAGAACATAATTGTTTACATTTTGATCAGCTGTATAATTTAGTTGCTGTTATTTATTTTTTAATTCAAAGTCTTTTAAACTCGTCAGAAATCATGATGACTTTTATTTGTTTTTAAATAACTACTTTATTTCTTTGCAATTGCTCGATTTCGAGCAACGTGTTTACTAGTAATATACAAATTGTGCTACTGAAGCACACATACCTTGATTCCAGATGATTTCTCCTCTATGATTCCCCGCAGCAACGATGGCTTTGTAAAGTTGAAGCATACCATGATGAAGATTGGAAGCAATATTTGCAAGAAATCAAAGGTTGATTTTTCTGGAAGTCCGTCTATAACTACATTGTACAGTGTAGCCTGATGAAAAATTGTGTTTTTGATCATACATATTTTGAAAGTTAAAAATGGTTGGTTAAAACAACTTTAACATAGATATGGAATGTCTAGTTGTATCAATAGTAAAAGGTTACTTGTTTAACTAGAAACCTAATGATAAAACAGCTGGGCTTTATATTCTTAGACCTATAAAAGCTATTTGCGTATGTCATTGCCGCTCAAACACTGTAGATGGCCGCAAGAGGCTTTCGCTGAGTGCGGCCATACATTTTGAAAGCGGCAATAATTGTTTGCGCTCGTAATACACACAAGATTTTCCTACCACCATAATTAACTTAAATATCATAACACATGGATTTAACTTTTTAATTGGGTATACAAAAATTGGATTCAGGTTATGTTTACTTTTTTAGGTTACCGTTTGTTATACGCTTACCAGATTCTACAATTTTATAGAAAAACTAACAGTGAAATCAGCTGATTTAGCGTGAGACATGAGCTAGAATGAATAAAGCGGAAATGAGCTATTTTGCGTACTGTTTACAGACGTGGCAATATGATCATTTCCAAGCAGTGGTAGGAAAAATCTTTTAAAAGCTGAAGTACGATTGTTTATAGGAAAAACTATAAATACATCCACCCAGCCATTCAGCCATTTAAAACATATACCTATCAAACATAGGACTGATTAAGTACGAAAGCATAAAATTATTTAAAAACCTGATGTTGTGATCAAAATATTTTTTGTATTCGAAAGGTTGTGGTGATATTCTTTTGATATTACTTAAAAAGCGTAGGCTGCTCCTATTGAACTATGGTGAATGTAATTAGTTTTTTTTTTCAGTAAAAATACCCATTGCATTAAAACATGTAACAACTACTTTAAGAATTTAACATTTTATTGTTTGAAAAAAGTAGGATGTAAAAATAAAAATGCTGATTATTCTTTTAAATTGTAGTGGTCTGTAAAACAATAACCCTTGCAAACGTTATAGTTTCACCTAGAAATTGATAATATTGCAAGATAACATAGGCTATTGAAAAGAAGTATATAGTACTTACATTGATGTTGTTTTTAGAAAGATAAGCTCTATCTAATCCACTTTGAAAACCCAGAAACCCAGACTCGTAATATGAACTGTAACCATTGTCTAAAACAAATTGAATAAATCATAACACACAGTATTTTGTAGATATCTATAATGTCATAACTAAGTTATGAATAACTTCTAATGATGGTCAAAATTTTGAATCTCAAAACCAAAATGAGAAACTTTTTCAAGGCTAGAAAAAAATGCAGGTACTGTATTGATAGGTTTGTTATGCAATCGAAACTAAAAGAAATTGACTCACGATCCTGACTTAATAACATAAATACATTGTGACTAATAAGATTTCAACCTAAACACCCCCACCACAGCAAACCTACAAATTTCCATTTACCTGGTTGGATTTTCACAAAAATATTCCCCTGAAGTATTCAAGATTATTTCCTTTTCAAATAGCATTAATTTTAATGAGTTTATATTTAGGTTTCCTGCTACAGGGCCAAGAAGGTTATAAGTAAAGTCTGTTTTTTACAGAAATATAAAATAGTTTATTATGAATATAATAATTAATTAATTATATTTGATTGAATAATTAATATATTATGAAATTAACAAATTAAAATTTCCAAACAATCTGAAACTGTTTCCATAAACAAGTAAACTACAACTGTATTCTCTGTAAAAATATATGGGGAGTTTAAGTTATAGTTTTCTGGAATTTTCTCCCTGACTGTAATATATTTAACAACGCTTCAATCTAATATATAAAATTCTCGTGTCACAGTGTTTGTCTGCAAACTCCTCCGGAACGACTTCACCGATCGTTATGAAATTTGGTGTGTAAATTCTGTAGGCCCTAGGTATGCGAATCGGACGTAAACTATTTCCCGTTTCAAAATTCTTAAAAGGGCTCCGCCCCAGTGGCTCTGGAGTTTCCCATGTTAACCTTATGAGAAATGGAATTAATGAATCTTAACAGCTGTTTCAATTAAACAAGTTGTTCTATGATGTTCAATAGAATTAAAGTTACAAGGATTACCAACAGGGTGCAGCACTATTATTTCTTTTACATTTATGACAACAGCTAATTTGCAACTAAAAGGTGAGTGAGCGTAGCGAACGAACTTCAACCTGGAGGCGAGTTAGCGTAGCGAACGAGCTAACCTGAAGGCAAGTGAGGGCAGCGAACGAGCTCCAACCTAAAGGTGAGTGAGCGTAGCGAACGAGCTCCAAGCCAAAGGTGAGTGAGCGTAGCGAACGAACTTCAACCTGGAGGCGAGTTAGCGTAACGAACGAGCTAACCTGAAGGCAAGTGAGCGCAGCGAACGAGCTCCAACCTAAAGGTGAGTGAGCGTAGCGAACGAGCTCCAACCCAAAGGTAAGTGAGCGTAGCGAACGAACTTCAACCAGGACGTGATTGAGCGATGCGAACGAGATCATCTTGAAAATTAAACGTAACGGTACTTTCTTTCCATCGGTCTGTCTTAGGGGAAACCTATAACTTAGGCGATACGAAGTTCGCCGGGTCAGCTAGTACACTATATAATTTGTTTTTTAAAGCGTTACATAAAGGTTTGAAAAGAAATTGCAGAATTTTATGTATTGAGGTTGGAAATGCGAAAAACCAAATTTTGAGTCCATACCCACATAGCACAGAATATTTATTTGATATCAAATAAACGTTCAATATATCAAACTATGTCAAATCAAAAATTTGATATTTATTTGATATTCATTTAATGTTCAAAATGTCAAAGTCAAACAATGTCAAACTTTGAATATTTATTGTATCTTCAAAATATCAAAGTCAAATAACATCAAATTTAGAATATTATCTAAATATTCTTAATGTTAAAAATTTGATTTTCTCTTTGAAAATTTTCAAATATACTAGTTTTAAAAATTTTTAGATTTAACTTTTTAAATTTTTTAGAGTAAAGAATTAGTCCCCAGCCTACAGGGGCTCATTTCATAATAAACTACAAGTTACAAGTTACAACTTGTAACTTGTTATTTCCATTAGATTTGCATTGGGCAATCAGCTGATATACTATTAGTTTGTACTTTATTATGAAATGGGCCCCAGTTTGTAACATGGAGGTCGGAGGTCAATTATCTCAAAATAATTAATAATAGGAAGGAACACTGAACACTGTAATTTTTAATTAATTGATGATGTATTTTGACTTTTCGCGGGGGGGGGGGAGTTGTTGGAACATCGAACATCTGATATTTTTCTGAATCTAGGCTTACTACACATTTCAAGAAGAGTGAATAGGAAACACAGCTTTTTTAAAAGTTTTGTTTATTAATAAAAAAGTCAAACTCTTAACGATTGGCCTCATCATTTTATTTTTTCTAGTAAATTAAACCAAACGTAAATTTAAATTTTTTTAAGTGTAATATAACTCTAAAAATATGTTAAGTATCTAGTTTGAGCTTGACTTGGCCCATTCGTATAAAAGGAAGAGAGGAAGACTGAAGACAAAACACCAACTTAATTCTAACCTAACTCAGCAAACAAAACAAAACATTACAATACAAAACAAATTACAAAATCCGTCGCGCGACCAGTGGTGGCCAGTTTACTCACGGTGTGGATTTATTTATTTATTAACCAACAAATTGCCCATTTTGAGGGAAAGTACACGATTTATGTAAAATGTACCTATGACAACTAACTTGTTGAGTAGGCTACACAAGTAGTGAAAATAAACTATAGAAGCAACAAGAGTATCAAGATTCAAGAACAAGACATAACCTCAAATCAGTTAACTTAAGTGTGCTGATATTTTGTTTAGTGTGTGTCACTGTTAGTTTAGAGTTGTTATTTTTGTGACTGGGTATTGGCATAACCTACACCGAACATCTTTTCACGTTTTGATCCTTGGAGTATGTAAGTATAAGTCAGTATACCTAGTAACATAGACGTATTTTAGGCCTTGGCCTTACCTAGACCTAAGTTAAGCTACTGTACAAATTAAATTGGCCAACTTATCATTCCTAAGTATAAATAGATAAATCTGAAACCTCAAAATAGGCAATCTGTTTTAGAGGAAATATTTTTCTGCATACTAGTTAGGCCTATACGTAAGCTACTAAGTTAGGCGGCTTGCTTAGTTCTTACTGAACCAGTAGTTTATTTAGCTTCAAAGGGCAACTTCCGGATGAAAATAGTGTTCAATATATAGGCTAGTAAGTAGGACTAACTTACTGGTTTACAAGGCAAATGGAATACCATACTGTGTTGTAATACCTTGTTAGGCTGATTTTGAAATATTACTAAATTATGTGGGTTATATTTTACGTCAGTCACTAACTTAAGTTTATGTAAATTCACCATCAAGAATAAGTTAACTTAATTTAGGCTAGCCTAGGCCTAAACTATTCTACCTCAACCAGGTTACAATTTACCGGTATTATAAAAGAAATAGCCTAGCCTATTTGAAATCCATTTTCCTTTTAAACTGAATTGGGGTACACTTCCGTATCTGTTGTCAAAAACAACTGAATGAACATAGGCTATAACGATCGATATTTTCATTCGGTTGTTTTTGACAACAGATACGAAAGTCTACCCCTGTATTGTCTCTTAGTCTTTTGTATTTTAGTTGTTGTCTGCTTCCTTTACCAACCAATGATTAGGCCTAACTTAACTAATCTTGATACATATTTAGGCCAGAGAAAGGTATGCATGAATTTAACTAAAAGTAGTTTTCTCTCCATTGTTTCAGTTGATAACTCTGCAGCTTTGGTGGAAGTTATTATTTGGTAGCAGTGAATAATTTGCCTACGGTACCAATTTTCCCGAGTGACAAAGTGGCTGTCTAGCAGCCTGTAGGCTGGGAAGGAGGAATAAATTTTTCTTTTGCAATCTGCATCTGAAGCCAGCTATCTTGCGTAAGTTTTTTTTAATTTACAATCAGACATTAATAATAGGTAGACATACATATATTTCAATTAGGTTTTCTCAAAGTTAAAATAAAGTTTCAATCTTAGGTGTTTTTATTTCAATTTTTCTGTTTGATTCGCCATGACTGTGTATGTCTTTTTTGCCATAACGGGTACAGTTCCGCAGAGAACCTGCGATATATTATCGGATGAATAACATTATATATCAATAATTATCTGATTCAATACATCGTTCCCTATGTTTTTTCACTATGTAAACATCAAATTGAGTTATGATTTGCAGATTTGGTGAATTGGTTTTGCAATATTAATATCAAATCAGATACAGTATATATACCGTCCGATAATATATCGCAGGTTCTCTTAGGAACTGTAGATAAGTTAGGCTCTACCACCAAAACACAACCTAATTCATGATAGGTACCTATTGGGTAATAACGTAGCCTAAGGTTCATCACACAGTTAAGAGAGTTTCTCTTTTTTGTGACCCACTTATATAGGAAGTCTTTGATTTACACTATATAAATATTCCGGCAGTGCTAACTTGTGTAAAAGAAAACTGTATTAAGTTAGTTGAATTTTTTTAAACGCACACATAGGCCTATACACACACCAAACTACATCCGACCGTTGCACTCATTTCAGTCAGTGCTCACCCCAATATTTGTCCGTTCAAGTGACTGAGGATTACTTTTACCACTACCTAGGTCAAAATTTTCAATTTTCAGATTTAGATTTAGCTTTAACAAGGCTACTCAAAAGAAGCAAATGCCATCAAAATATAAAATAGATTTCACTAACAATTTAATATGTGTACCTAGTTGTAGGCTATCCTGGGTGTTGATCAGGAAAATTAAAATATATACAAATTCTAGTGCTAATACTAATCTCTTTTATACAGAGGCAGAACCGGTATGCAAGAACACTAGGATCGTGGTGTAATGGAAATATATGTTGTTGCTACTATAATCAAGAATTGGCTTCGCCCAGCAAAGTTTAGGATTGATGCAAGGTAAATTTATTGTGTTATTTATAATTTAGGTTAAAGAAAAGATTGCTTATCTAATTACCTAATATAGAACTTAAATTTTATTATAATTAACAGATTAGGCCGACATCTAACTACTGTGATGTTTTCTTTTCAAATTGTGAATTTTCAGTGACAGGCTATGCAAATGAGCAAAACTTAATCTGCGGTTTTATCCATCTCTTTTTTCTTTATTGTCAAGAACTCAATGCCTTATCGACAAATTTAATTATAAAGTACAGGTATAGTAAAAAAATAGGTCTTAAAAATGCCTAACGAAGGGGTCTCCAACCTACAGCCTGTGGGCTACATCCGGCCCTCGTGCAGTTTTATTCCAGCCAGCAGAAAGCCAGCATACGTTTTTGAAAATTATTATTTTTTATAGCAAACACCAATTATATTCTCCCACGATTGCGTAAACACGTGTGGTCAGGTGGTCTCAGCTATATCGTGATCATCTCCCGTGATCTCGCCAAGACTCACGAGCATATTATACTGCAGTCTCGACGGTGCCGTGATTGTCTTTTGCAATCCCAGCAACACCCTTCATTGTTGACCGTGATTTCCTTGAGGTGTAAAAAGAGAACTTTGTCAATGAATGCAGGCTCAGCCATGGGATATTTATTTACCTCGCGGCTCATACCATAATTAAGAGCAATTAACTGTCTCTTCCCCATTCAACAAAGTTTGTGTACAATACCCTGTCTCCAAGTTGGCAGGTTAACGTATTTAAATAGGAACATAGTAAATGTCTCTCACTTGCTAATTTTTTCTCAATAGGCCTAGGGGAATATTAGTAGTAGTCAAGTAGCGGCAGATTAATTTAAATATATATATTTTTAATTGATCCTAATTGGCAGAACTACAAATTGAAATCTTAAACTAGCTGACATTTTAAGTGTCAAATTTTATAGCCTATTCTCACTAAAAAATCATTGAACTTTTTGTCAAAGATTTAGCTTAGAATGTGATTACTTCTTAATTGCACATATTTCGTTAGAATTAGAGGCATTTATAATTTTATTTTATGAACAGAACTATATTTTAGATTATTAAAAAAGGAAACTATGTAGTTTATTTGTTTATGGATAGATTTTGATAAAATTTGGCAAACTTAATTTACTTTATCCTATACTATTGACGTATGCTCAAAAAAACTTTTTACCTTCTCCATGGCTGCAAACCTAACCTTGTTAAATCTAATCTTCATTCAATTTTTATCTTGTATATTTTTTTATATTATCAGCAAGTTGGGTTAGCTTATGACAGATTAATTTTATAATAGAATGCTCTCATTTTGTCCGTAGTAAACCTTAATTCAATTTTTTCACAATCAGCAAGTTTGGTTAATATGGTTACGACATTTTAATTTTATAATAGAATGCTCTCATTTCGTCCGTATCACAAAAAGCCTTTACCTTGTGACAAACGACAACTACAATCGCATCGATAGTAGATGATGTTGTGATTCGATAGAGTAGCGAACAATTAACGTTAGTCGCTAAATCGGTGGCGTTTTTAAACAAAAAAGTGCTCACCGAGGAAAAAGGGTTGGAGACCCCTTGTCTAACATATTATATTTTATCTATAGCTGTCTTAGAAAATAACTCTGTTGAACCTCTTTTACAGGAACAATAGAAAACTCAAGAAGGCCATTTGGGAGATGAAGAAGACCAGAATTATTTTTTTTGTAAATTGTAGGCCTACATATCTTTTTTATATTTGTGTTTAAATATTTTTAATTAAACTTATTTTATCATACAAACAAACTTTTTTCTTTAAAATGTTTTCCTTGAATGCAATTTGGTTTTAAACAAATATGTTTTGTGATACTTTTGTTAATGTTTTGTCAAATAACAAATATATATATATATAGCCTATTTACATTTTTGGGTCACCCAAGAACTTTAACAAACTACCTATAACTTCAGAATAATAAGTCAAATCAAGGTAAGAACAGTAAAGAAGTCTGAACTGATATTATTTTAATCGCCATGAAATTTGAAATGTGAAAAAATGCAACCTAATTCTTCTAAACATATTTTACCAATAAATGTATGAGACATTTATTTGATATTCAATTTAATATTTATTTAATGTCAAATTAAGTGAGGTTGAACCTAAATTGACCATTTATTTGATATCAAATGAATGTTCGCGAATATTAATTTAATATTCGAATGTCAAAAATGTTATATCAATATTTATCACCATCATATTTAAAATGTGAATGTAAATTCAATCATATTCTCTTTATTATATTTTACCAATAAATTTATGAATGTCAAATTTGATATTTATTTTATATTCAATTTGAATATTTATTTGATGTAAAATTGAGTGACGTTTGAACCTAAATTGAACGTTTATTTGATATCAAACGAATGTTCGTGAATATCAATTTGATATTCAAATGTCAAAAATTTGATAGCTATTTGATATCAAATAAATATTCGGTGCTATGTGGGTAAAATGTCGATCCCATACCGTCTGATCATGCTGGCTTGCAAACTCATCCCTTAAATGAATGTTGGTTTACTGGTTTGTACCAAATTTCATTAAAATCAGTCAATTTTTACTTGAGTTATTGTGCTAACGGCCACATGAGTTAAATATATATATACAGTACCTATTTGAATTTAAACAGATGTTCTTTTTGGTACATAGTCTGGTATGACGTATATTAATTTATTAAACTCATTAAAAATGTTAATGTTCTAGGTAACTCGACAACTCCCAAACTCGACAACCTCTGGGTTCACAAATTAATTGTCCAGTTAGTGAGATTTTACTGACTTATTATGATACATATTGGCCAGCACAAAACATATGTACAATACCCCCGCCGCAGCAAACCTGCAGACTAAGCGAATTTCCATTTGACTGATTGGATTTACACTGAGTCTACTTAAAAATATAACATTTATTCTTGATTTAAATAGAATTAGTTTAACAAGTACTTAGGTTTGCTGCATCAGGGAGGGTAAAACTTTTTTTTTTGTAAAATGTGAATAGGTAGTGAGAAATAAAAACATTTTCCAAATTTGATCAAAATATGTTCACAAACAAGCAAACTACAACAGTTTACTTATTCTCCATAAGAATAACATGGGAATTTTAAATTTACAATTTTTTGGAATTTTCTCCATAACTATTAGGCGCATAATAACGCTTCAATATACTAAATTATTTGTTTTTTTAAGCTCTACAAAATGGTTTGGAAAGAAATTGCTAAATTTTATGTTTTTTGGGTCAAAAATAGGAAAAACCTATTTTTACCACATAAAACCCCCCGTAAACCCCCGTTCCCATGGTCCGATCATGCTGGATCGCGAACTCGTTCGAATAAACGTACGTTTACACGTTTGTACCAAATTTCATCCAAATCGGATCATTTTTGCTCAAGTTATCGTGCTGACGGACACATATATATATATATATATATATAAATATATAAATATATATATATATATGAAATTGAACGGATGGTGTTTTTGGCCTCTAGGGACCTCAAAACGAAAAAAAAAATCGGTCCCGCGTCCAGGTCTTACCATGAGTACTACGGTAATAGCTTATTCCCTATATGGGAAATTCGCTAAAAAGTAGATCCATAAAATTAAAATTATACTCACATTTGTCGCCATAAAGTGAGTCCTGAGAAGTTTGGAGGTCTCCTGTGCTCGTTCGAAGAGTGTATGTAAAACTTTTTGGATTGTCAAGATTAAAAATCACTCCTACCCCAGGAGTATGACTGACATACCCCTCAGAACTGTTGAACTGAAGTGTTTCATTGATGTATGACTGCCTCAACCAATCTACAACTTCATCTTCACTGTCTTTTTTAACGATGGTAACTAGAAAATCAGTGCATTTTGGTATGATTATCAAAGTATAACATAATTTAAAAGAGTTCTTATCAAAGTATAACGTCATTTAAAAGAGTTTTTATGTCAATTTAGATTTTTCAAAGATTGGTACTGTTACAAGAGTGTTGATGGGTTTGGATAGTTTTTTTAAGTGTTTATTGTTTCATTAAAATAACACACTCATACACACTAGAAAAACTCTTTGAATTCCATTATTTATTGTCTTAGATGGCAAATGTTTAACATATTTTTCCTGAGTTTATGAAAACAAACTTCCAAATTCCCATAAAGAGGTTTTTGGTGGCCCGTGGCCCCAGACAAAGTAGAGAATAGAGATCAAAGTCAAATATGTTTCAAGGTGAAATTAAGGCTCCTCCTATTTAGCTGTGCCGCATACAGGTATAAAAATAAGAGTTATTAAATCAATAGACAGCCCCTGGAGACAAAAGGGCTTATAAAACTGTTATTAGAAATACCTACATAATTAAATGTATATGCATACTTCATATTACAGAAAATAAATTCAATTTAAGAGTCAAATTGAGTATAATACCTTCTCCTCGTATTTTGCTGATTACTATACTCATATATTCATCAGTGATCGCAGTAGATGGTGTATACGCTATTTTGAAATTCCCATTAACAAAATCACTATAGGGCTTATATTTTTGCCAAGGGCTATAGGATATTTGATCGTCTTGTTTTGGTATTGCGTTATTTATGCGTATTAGAAACCAGAACAAAAAGATCGGTACGACCAATTCTAGCAGGGTGATGAGGTAGCGACGTTTACGTAAGACGTAGACTTTCCAGAGCAACACCATGAACACTCTACCCATTGTGGCCTGTAAATATAAAGTGTTGAGAAAACAATAATGTAAAATATAAGCAATGAGCACACAATATTTTTGTAACAGATTGAGAACTAAAATTTAAAATTTTGGTCAACCTTTATAAAGGATTTTCACCTTATTCATGATAATTTTGACCAAGGAGTTTGACTTCTAAGTCATTCTAATACTAGATAACCAATAAATTACCTTTTATGCTTAATTTTTCACTTGTGGGGAAAATAGGCTAGTAAGCCACAGAGTAAAGAACAGTCTTATTTTGTTACTATTTCCCTGTACATTTTACGATAAAATGTAAAATAATGTTCCCTAGGTAAAAACATCAAGAAAAAAAGCTCATAAACATGGGTCTAAAATCATTTATTTCTGTCTGTCTGCCTGCATGGGATTTTCACAAATGTATCCATAACTTTCTAACGCTTTAAGTGTGAGTTAAAACTTAGTACATAAGTAGTACAGGTAAGATCAACAGGCACAAGGTGTCAGATTACTAAATTCAACCAATTCAAAATGGCGACTATTTAAAATATTTTATCTTATCGTGATTTTATGAACGATAAGGAGTAAGAACCGTTAGAAGATTGTATGCCCAACCCAACAATACCTTAGTTGTAAAAATCGGTTCATAAACAACTAAGATTATTACATTTTTGTGGGATAATGCATGGCCCAGACCCCTGCGCCCATGGTTGCCACCTTTAGCTAAGGAAAAATCGGGACATGGCCCCCCTCCCCCCTGGATTAACATACGCTTAAATACGGGCATAAGGAACCAAAAACCCGACAGAATCGGGACGGGTGGCAACCCTGCCTGTGCCGTACCTCACCAACGGAAAGGGGCGCACAATAATGGGAAATATTTTAGCATCATAACATTCACATACTTGGTCTCAAAAAACTGTCAATATCTGGTTGTTTACTAACCGATCTTTACTATTGAAGCATTGTTAGATTAGTTAACAATTGTCTACAAACAAATACTTTAAATAGTTTGTTTTTAGAAACAAGATATTTAAGATAGAAAATTTTAAATGGTTGCCATTTTGAATTCGTAGAATTTTATGTACTAGTTTTTAACTCAATCCCTTTAAGTGTTTGAAAGTTATGGATACATCTGGATAAATAAAATGACATATAGACAGAAAACAAGGCATTTTTGACCCATGTTAATGTGATTTTTTTATAGTCTTGACCTAAAGAACAGAACATACAAAAGATTTCAAGAGTACACCCTGTATAATTCGCAAAAAAATTAAATGGGTAAGTTTTAAGAGAACCTATTTTTAGTTTTCACCTTAAAACTACTTACTTTTCCTGAAGTATTCATTCGTTCGGGAACTCGAAATTCCGTTTGTTGAGTTCCAGGGCTTGTGCTGGGACCTGCGGTATGTCCTACCTTCTCCATGTCTAAGTGATGACTACGTCCACATTATCATCAACAGATAAGATAACTTCAATCAGCTGACTTTTGGGTAAGGTTTAATCAATATCAGAGGATTGAATCATAAGTGGGTTTTTCAGTAGCATAGTGTCAATGTGTATTAACTTGACTCACTGATCATTTATTTGGTAAACTAACAATGAGCGTTTTATTATCACTGTGAATGAATAGTAATTGTCCAAACATATTTTCATCATACTGCCCGGACAACAGCTGACAAACTTCTTGAGCTTTTTTTTAGTTCTCTAAATCATCCACAAATTCATTGTTTTCGAGTACCTTCAATAAGGGAACACAAAAAACATATGGTATTTTTTTCGGTTCGCTAACCTCAACATTTTATAAGTGCATTATGAAAACGGTACTCTTCTCACGATATTTAAAGTTATGGTTGTAAACAACAGAAATGTAAACATTGTTGACCATTGTATAACCTCAAATTATGTGGTCTAGTTTTGTAATGATTAGAAGGTTATATCCTCGGTATGATGAAAATAGTTGTTCATCACATGGAGTATTTCCAAGCAGGCTGCACCTCGCTAATTAAACACGATTGCCTACCAAAAAGAGCCACTTTCACTCCTAGTGCAGAAAACTACTACGGTATATCACTAATATTGAAGAGGAAACACCAGATGGATCATAAGTTTTTTTTATAATTTCTTTATCTTATTACATTATATTGATTAAATTTTATTTCCTTTAGATGTTATCAAAGCGAAGAATAAGATTATAATCAATGAAAATTCTATTTATGTTATGTTGGATGGATATGATACAAATACATAAAAGTGTCATAATCAAAAACACTCTTAGTATTTATTGGTTGATGGCAAATGTTGATTCTCGATTCCAACCAATTCTTGGTCTTAGAACCGAGACCGAGAATCAATCCCCAAATCTTAGTCCATAGATTCCAGTTCAAGAGTTTAAAGTAAGGCTTGCCCTGTGTTTAATTTTCTACTCTTTCTTGGTTATTTAATTTTACTTAAGATATTTGATCACTAGATGCAAGATTTACAACAGCAGAAGTTGGCCGCTAATTGTGCTAGAAATATGGTCTGACTTTTTTTGGCAGAATTCTGACAAGTGATTAAGTTATTCACAATCTAATCTTAGTGCAGTATCTATTGATTGACATGTCAGTCAACCAAAAAAATTTTTTTTTAGAAATAATAATAAGAATTTGTCATTAATCAATTGTAATTCCTCATTTGACCTTATAATCACCTTCATAATTAGACACATCTCTAAACAACTGTCAATAGCTTGGTAAGGTTTTCAGCTTAAAGTGAGGATTTGTTTCCCCCATTTTTTCCGTTGAGTTTCATATCACAAAGTTTTCAAAATCAATTCCATGTGAAAATCATTCTTTAAACAAATTGTTGGTTAAATGTCCATTATGTAGAAATATGTTTGAAGAGGTAGTTATTTTAACCGGGACTGAACCTAAAATCTTTTAAGTTCGGTCTCTTCGTAATCTATTTAATTTGAAGAGATGTTACAAATATCTTAGGAGTAAGATAACTCAACTCTGGAAAGCTTTCCAGCTCGAATCTTCCTCATCTGAAAATACCAATAGTGAGTTATTTTAATTTATGTGGGTAAAAGTTGTGTTTGGATTTAACCAGGATGAAATCTTACCCATTCAGGTAAACCTGCTACTCCAACAACAATTAGCAAATTTACAAGTTTAATTAGATAAAAGGGTCTTAGAGTTTAAATGATTTATCATTAATTTTATATTAAACTTTATTAACATTTATTAAAATGATTGCTAACAATTTGACACTTTATCAAAAAATATACAATTAACAAAAATTGGTGGGAAAATGTTAGAAACCGTTATATACATTTGGCACATTGTCATGGAACGCACTCAAATTACAAACGTATCATATATAACATCTAAGTACTGTAGACCCTAGAGACGATGGGATCGAATGATGATAGTTGGAAGTGGAAAGAATTAACCTATTTTCTTGTACTTACTATAACTGGTCAGTATCATAGACACACCAGGCATCCCACTTTCATGGTAATTAAACAAACACCATTAATATTTGGATTGAAATAAGCCCCCATGGTTAGTGTAGTCAAAGACAGCCTAGGGCAAGGCCACACTAAAAAACAGGCCGCAATGCTCGTCAATCATGACGTCACGATAGAAGACGGCAATGACGTAATTAAGGTTATATTTTTGTTTTCCATGAAAAGATTAAAACAAGCAGCTGATCACAAACGGCAAAAATACGTCATTGCCGTCTTCTATCGTGACGTCATGCTAGACGAGCATTACAGCCTGTTTTTTTAGTGTGGCCTTGCCCTGGGTAGTGCAAGGCCCATTTCGTAAATTCACAGGCGGGCCCTTGCTACCAAAAAAGTAGTACGGTAGCTAACAAAAATCTCAATTTACAATGTTAGTATTTTTACTCTCTCTTTTTCTTTTTTTCTTAATTTACGTAAAACTCACACATTAAAAAAAATGTTGTGCTTTCGACCAAGCCTTGGGCCCCCTGAGGTGCAGGGCACTAGTAGCCACACCTTTGCCACATGCATAAAGTCGGCTCTTAGTGTTCTCATCTTAAAACAGTGATATCATGGACAAAACTTGCTCCCTTAGTAGATTTCTCATCGTAACAGATGAAGCCAATTTTATTGTTAGTTCTGTCCGGTACACTGTAGATTTTGTGTTTTGTTTTCAATTTGTTTCTTGTTATTTCAGTAATTTAAAACATGGTTTAACCAAATAAAATGATCCAATCATAAATAATAACTCATCCCCTAGTTATATAATCACAGTAAAGTACGAATCATGAAATGAACACTAAAATAATGTAAACCCTATTTCGTCGACACTAGTGATCAGTGTCACCAGACATCTACTAGACACAAAGAACAAGCTTTAAAATTTACAATGGGATGAGAAGTCTACTTGTGTTGGGTGATATGGTACACTAACATTTTCTGATTAGTAAATAACACTAATATCCATCGTTCACTCAACCCCATGGATTATCCAGTATATCAAAAGCCATCTGATACGCAACTTGCACTACTTCTAGAGTCATTTAAATCTGAAAAAGGAAAGGAAAATTCTGCGGCTAACTATAAATTTAAATACAGCAATGAGAAAATTAAACAATAACTTAAGAAATTTAAAAAAAGAGATTTGGGGTTTTATGATACCGGTTCAAATTCAAACCCTTTTATTTGTTACTATTGTACAGTGTTTGTTGTTTAGCGAACTTCACCCCTCAGTCAAATGACAACTGGGTTCGCATATGATTCATCTCAAGGTCAAACCAGAAATCTACGATTTAACCATTTTAACTACTGGGCCACTCATACTCATTTACATAAACATAACATAAGAAAATACCCCCATGGCAGCAAACCTGCAAACTCAGCGAATTTCCCCCCCTTTTAAAAATAACATTAGGTTTAATGAGCGCATAGATTTCCTGCTACAGTAGACTCCCTCTTATCCGGACTCCTTGGGACCGAGGCCAGTTTGGATAACGGTTTTTCCGGTTAAACCGACGTCCCCAAAATCTCGTTAACACGGACCGTTTAAATGCATAGGCCCCTACTCTATACAGTATTTTACTTAAAATTAGGAGAGCATTGTATTTAGACACGTAATCACTGGTCTCAAATCTTTCCCACAAGAACAGTCGTTTCAATACCGCCCACTTCCTGCCGATCTAGTCCAGTTAAACCAATGTGCTGATAAAAATTATCCGGATAAAGAGATGTCACTTCTACCGAGTGTAGTCTGGTTAAACCGATGTCTGGTTAAAAGGTGTCCGGAAAAGAGGGTGTCTACTGTACATGGAAGGTAATAAAGTGTTTTATCAAAACACAAATCTTAATTTGAAAAGAAAAAAATTGCCAAATATAATCAAACATATCTATAGATAAGCCAACAACAATAGTTAGTCTCCATAAGAGTAACATGAGTATAAGTCGACAGGTTTTTTTCTCGATAACCAGTTAGCATACAACAAAGTTTAAGTATGCTTAGTTGTTTTTTAGGCTCTACAAAATGGTTTAGAAAATAATAATAAAGTTCTATCTTTAGGGTCAAAATGGTAAAAACTACTTTTCACCCCATTAAACACTGTTCCCATAGCTCAATAATGCTGGTTTGCGAATTTGTTCAAATTAACGATTGTTTACACGTTTGCACCCAAGTAACATACAAATAAGTTTATTTTTACTGAAGATATTGTGCTAACAGACACATGCACATACACACATATCTATACGTTTAAACGGATGGCTATTTGTCTTCTGGGGACATCAAAACAAAAAATAAATCACTCTGAATGCTAGGTATGAGACTAACGGTAATGGCTTATTACCTATATGGGAAATTCAATAATACAGTACAGATTGTATCTGAATAAATGTTATGACAATGCTATGGCATTGAATAATTTAATAAGATGGTGGTATACAGATTTGGCTGTGAGGCCCCAGCATTAGAATAGACCATAACTTCCTCTGCTTATCATGACTAAAAGATACGCTTTGTCAGTTAAAATTTATTTGAAACAAGAGAATCACAATGAATCTAGCTGCTGCCATGAGTACAATAACTTAAAATATCACAGATGCCTTGTGTAAGACTATATGGTAGGGTATTTTTTCCCACAGTGTTTAGGAATGACCTATATTTTGATATTGTCAATATAATGAACAATAAAGATAAAAGTGAAAAATTTTATGATGAAAATTGAAAATATACCATCTACGTTAGTAGTATAACTTTGCAGGGAATTTAAAAACAAAATTTCCAACAGATGAAAAGAATCAGCACCAAAAATATGTGTTTAACATGAACATCAAACAACAGAATATCAGGGACCTGCTGACCAGGTGATGAACTTGACCCCCGAAGAGGTTTATAAGGGGTACCAAAGAGGTACTTTTAAGGTTACTGTTATGTGATTAATATACTGTACTTGGACAATAAAAAATCCTAAACCTTGTCCCATTCAAAAGTAAAATCTCAGTTGCGCTACAACATTATCACATAGGTTATAACAAAAATAAACAATCTTTTCTAAACTTAAGTTGGACTAGTACGTGAACACTAACATAATTAAAGTATGGCACATAAATAGTCGCTAACTGGCTTAAAAATAGGTTACTTATTGGTTATACGGAAAGATAAATGCCTTTAAAGATCAGTAGGGTAGGGAGTTTAGAAAAAACCCTGTATATGAAAATTCATTACGGACATGTATGAGTTTCTGTAAAATAGGATAAAAAATTAGTCAGTTAAAAGGAAAATTGTTTTTAGCCCTTGGCATTTCATCACAACACTTTGCTTGGCTTTAGGCTCTTAACGGTTATTATTAACGCAAATTTATCCAATGCCTGGGGCCTATATAATTTGGCATCCATAGGGTAAAGGGCAATTAGCATTTATCGTTGACTATTAATAAGGATAAGCTGGTATCCTTTTTAGGTAACTGGTTTAAATAAAGTTCTAAAATATACCATGCAAAATGGTTAGGTTCTCTAATATGTCAACATTATTTCGGTTCAAATGTAGTTTGATGCAATAAAAAATTTGTAGAGCGTACCAAAATCTTTTTACAAAGCCTTACCAAATCAGCTGATCGGATTAACTCTTAACCGGTCCTCTGGACATACCATGGATTTCCATTTTGCGAGGATTAGGATACTCGGGGTGTTCAATAGCTCCCTCTCCGAACTTCAACTCTAAAAAGTCGTGGATGTTGTTCGGCGCAGAGACGGGACGCCCTACAAATTCTATTGTTGATAGCGGTTTCAAATAGTGTTCGGGAAACTCCATATCTTGCCGGTGAGTTTTGAACCAAGTGTCTTTTGTCATTGTGCCGTTTCTCGAATAAAACGGGAAAATGTCCACATGCAGCCGGTTCACTTGGCTGAATTGAACCCTGTAAAAGTCACCTTCAATTGCTTTCTCCCAGACAAAGCCTTGCTGGTCTGTGATGGGTTTGATGCCGGCTCGCAGTAGCCAGGTGCATTTTGTGATATCCTCCTTGTAAATTCCGATGTCAACGTCGTAGTCCCAGGGCAGGATGTCTCCTGCTCTCATGGCTCCAAGCAGACTGCCTCCCTCCAACCAATACCTCACACCGGCTTCTTCCAACTGCTCGAACACATGTCGCGCTGTCCTTCTCAGACCAGCTGAAAACCAACACTTCGTCAGTTTACCTTGGATTACATTTCTCACAATCCACCACAAATCCCAAAATCAGAGAAAAGATTTGGGATGTTATAATTTATACCTGTCAATATGTTATTATACCTGTCATATGTTACAGATGTAGTAGCTTTTGATGAATATATTAATGGTCCTAACTCAAACAGTAAGGTCCTACAAGGGAGAAATAAGTTATAGAAACAACATAACATGCAATGGTACACTAAGAGGTGTCTAGCAGTAGTCGCTGGAGTCTAGGGCAAAGTTCAACACTGCCCCCCTCGTCCTAATGTAGTAGCCTACAACCCTTACAGTGGAGGAAGACCCTGAGCGGTAGGAGTTTCCACTATTGCTTGCCACTCTCTCTTGGGCTATTCCTTGATCAGCACAAGTATAACTTATTTCCGGCACAGCATACTAGAGTTGAAAGCATACAGTGCGATAAGAAGTTTAATCTGTACCTTACTTCTCGGTTGTCCTACTATTGTTATTTGGTAACTTTTTTCAAAGAGTCCCACCTACAATGGCTGAAAAACAAATGAGAATAAAAATGAAAGTTTTCTACATTAAAAATGTTTGGGATGCTTTTAACTCTAAACACCACTAATAGACATAACCATAGACCAGTAGGTGTCAAAGGAAATCGAAAATAGTATATGTGCCTGAGAGTAGACTCTAATGTTAAACCTAGTGTTTGTAATTGTTTCCATAAGATTATGTTACACTAACCTAGACAACATGGCGGTGTCCACTTCCCTTCCCACAAGTACTGAGGCGTCTCGTCTACAATGGAACCAAAACATCTCGGTGTGTCACGCTTGCAGCCGTACCACTCAATAACTCCATTTTCTCTGACCACCTTCTTAAGTTCCAAGTTATGGAACATTGATTTCTGACGGTCTTTATCAGCCTGTTGCGCCTTCCATTGATTATGGTGGCTTTTCAGCAGTTTTTTCCCACTACTCATTTGTAATTCATCAGCTATAATCACCTGAAATGAAGGTTTATTTAAAATTGCAAAGCTTTACAGAAAAAGGAAATTTAAAATTGATAAATTTTCGCTAAAAATGAACTTTTGGAACATGTGTTTAACTTAGTCTAAATTGTACCTATTATGGGATCCAAAAAAGGTGTAGGTACCCTAGCCTAAACAAAGTCGTGACTTTCCAAGCGATACCCTATTGGACTACCACTCATCCTTCACTCATATTTGGGTTAAAATACGCACATAGTGGCGTCCCCATCTTAAATAATTGATAATTGATAATTGATAAACTAATGTAACTTAGATGACTAGATGCAAAATTTTAAATCATACTAGGTTTATGCTGAAAAATGGGAAAACGTAGGTGAGGTAGGCCTACTTTGGTATTATCCGGAGACCACTTGTTTTAGAGGGATTTTTTACCGCACACCAAAAATAACGACATATTTGGAAAGAACATACGGTACTTCAATTGACTTACTGTACAAATTTGACATGATTTCGATTAGCAGCCTTTAAGTTCTGCCTCCCAGAAGAGCGATGTCCAGCGAGGATTGAGTTAAATGGGTCACCGCCGCTAGCTGCCACACGTACTCTGCCTGGTAGGTATACAGCACGCCGCGGAGGTTATGTTAGGCTGGGTTATCATAAATATGTTTGTAGGACTTTCCTCGTTTCGTTATGAATCTAACAATAGGCCTACCATAGGTGTAACGATACCAGAGGTACCTAAGTGGTTACATGTTACAGTACAGGTGATGCGCGCGTTCCGGTCAAAGACCTGACCTTGGCCTACATGGAGAGGATTTGGCGGGAGAAAGTATGACTCATCTGGTATCGTTCGATTCATAACCTAACCTAACATAATCGCTGCAGCCCTATATAAGGGTGGCATCCGGATAATACCAAAGTACCCAACGTAGTTGACTTAGTTCCTAACTTTAAAACTAGGCAACTTATCAAAGTGTTTAGGCTATAGAAGATGTTTAGGGCTAGGCTCCGTGCTAACTTAAGCCCAGTGTTTGGTTTGGCCCATTAGGCTACACCGTAAGATGACATTAGTAAAAAATTTATCTTTTTTAGAAATGTGTTTAATCCGCCAAGTTAAGCCTAAGACATACCTTTCTCCACTTACCTTAACAGACATTGAAGATAATTGTATAAACAGAGAATCAGGAAATGGTAGCATGAAAGGATCTGTCACCCTGTAGAGTAATTTACTTTCTAAAAATAGGGCATGCTTCCCCTTTACAAAGTCACATTCTTTTGTAAGCTGTGAACTGTCGAATCGAATGAACCATTCTCTTATATCTAAATGTATCTTAAGACATTTCAATTCTTTGGATTTATAAGGAATCGCAAGAATTGTGTCATTCTTCAATGAAATATCAATTAGCTTTTCAGCTATTTTTTTGTTATTCAAGCGGGTTGAATCAGGTATAAACAATGTATATCTGGTTTCTATATGTAGGATTGGAGTTCTGTCCTTTAAACTTCCTGTAAGATTAGGTTTAGTTGACACAAATTTCACAGTGCTGGCATTTGTCTTGTTCAGTATTATTGGTGGATAGAAAGGTGTATCCGTTATGATTAGAATATTCACTCTTGGATAAATGTTTAGCAAGCTATAAACTGATTCAATAATGTCATGATCAAATGGTTCAAAGGATCTCATAACAAACGTAATCTCACTTTGAACTCGATTGATATGTTCTGGACTTTTGCTAGCAGGTACAAAACTTTTTATTTTATTTTCCAAATCCGGTAATTTGGTGTCACTTTTGGATGATTTCCCGTGCAGGGCAAAGAACTTCCATATAAAGAAAACTGATATAAAGTTTAAAATTATAAGAAATGCTGTGATTGTTTTGACAACCCTAAAGCGCATAGTTTATAGTAGGACTAGACCTAGTTGGCTATTACAATATCTTGACATAAGTTATCAACAATATTATTCTTATCCAGCATTCACGACTAATACAACTGAGAAATACTTAAGGTTATAGCACAAATAAGTCTTGATTTCTGTAAAAATCATTATAAGTTTCTTAGGTAAAAGCTAAACACACACATTACATTTCATGTTTACACACTGATAATGCAACCTAAGAACCAAACCAACCAACCTCTAAAAACAAAAACAGATCAGAACAACAGAATTTTTTGACAGCCGGAGCAGAGTACGCTTGACAGCCAGTGTGACCAACATAGCAACTATGCGAACAGAGAACGGACAACAGTCTCCAATGAATATATATTCTGGCATATATCGTGAAATGTTTAATATTGAATGGTATTGTGTTTTGTGTTCAATAATAAAATAGCTGCATATGTGTATAAAACTTATCGAAAAGATATAAAAAAAGTGTCTTAGGCTCAATAAAACCATTGAGTATACACGTAAGTTGTGTGTGTGTACTTAAACTAGTATTAAGTTTCTGACTGTTCTATAGCAACTGAGATAAAAGTTTGAGTCTGCTATCACCAATGGGCATGGTCCGACGAGATACTCCCTACATACTAAGGAGGAATTTATATCATTACGTTGCAAAGGGTGTCAGATTTATAATTTTAATTACAGTCAATAAGTTAGCTTACCTATCCTTAGAGGGTTTTTAGAGAGAATATGTCCTACATCACATCTGAATTCTGAATAAGGCAAGAAGGGACTGTTAAGACCAGCACTACGGTCCTTTCCGTGTCTTTAAAAACTACGATTATTTGAATCATGTAGGCTACGACTTTAGCGAAAAGCTTCCCCCCACCGATGTTTAATCTATGACAACAACAACAATATATATATTTTTTTATTACCTAAAGAATAAGATATGTAACAAAAGACATATCATGCCTGTCCCGAACTTAACTATATTGTGTAAGATCCCATTCCAATATCCCTCAAGGATATCGGCAACCACCATGATCAGCGTTTTGGGATACGTTTATCGGCAGAATCCCTTATCTCCGATCGAACTATATACATGGAAGTACCGGTATCATACAAAATGTTGGTGGTGAAAATCTTAAAAATTTAGGCTAGGTGGGCAATGGAGCCCCTACTTACGTACTTCTCATATACTAAAAGGTGCAATCCTTTAGGAGGGGTCGCTATGTTTTACAGTAACTTATATATTTTCAAATTTTGATCAACGTATTTATTTTGACTAAAAAACTGAATAAATTAAGAGAAATCTGTAAACATTAATATTATTCCAAAATTTTCACTTAAAGTGTTTTCTCAGAATATATACCTAACTGATTCTTTTCATATCACTTTGAGCAAGTGATGCTATGAGGCGATCCCTTATTTACTTAATATATCCCTAAGATATGCCATTTAAATACTATGGGATTTCCCTCAGATATTCTTATAGAACCTGCGCATAACTTTGCACATAGTGTGTGATCACTACCACTGTAGTATATTTCTCTACCCTACCTCAACACCAGTGTGTAATATAGACAATGTGATAAAAGAAGGTAGCTAATAAAATGTGAATAGGGCCATACAAAAAATCTTGCTAAAGAATACAGGCAACAAAAAAGGCAATTAAATTCAAAAATTCATAGTCTTTGGTACTAAATGATTAGATCTAGACTATAGACACTAACATCCTTTCTATATCGGCTAGGATTCCATATAAAAACTTGTGCACTTTCTGTATAAATGTCAGTCTGGCACTACACAAAAAATACCATCTAATGCCCAAGTGATCAAAATCTATCCAAACACCATCTAATACACTTCTCCTAAGATTCTAAAAGAACAGCTGTATTTTCTGTTTGCCTGGCTGTATTACAAATACATCGTCCTCGGTCCATTTTTACTTTCTCCCCCTATACCATAGTATATGGAGAAAGTATTGTTTTCGTCAAAATTTTCGAGTTTGAGTTTTGAGTGGATATATTCGTTTTGGGTCCCCCTGGACCCAAAAAAGTGGTTTTCAAAGTGATGTCTGTGTGTGTGTGTGTGTGTGTGTCTGTGTGTCCGTGTGTCTGTGTGTCTGTGTGTCTGGATGTGTACAGAGCTAGAGACTACACCTGTGGTCCGATTTCGATGAAATTTGGTATGTAGGTTCTAATTCATGGTATCTCCAGGCGTTTTTTTCATTTTTTTGAAATTTTGATTTTTAATGGGGATTTTCCCATAAAAACCCATAAAAAACCGGAAAAATCGGATTTTCTAAAAAATGGCCCGAACGATTTTGATAAAAATTTAGTATGTTGTAGCCCTTTAAATTCTGAACAAAATGGTACAAATCCCATTTCTGTAAAAATTACGGTTCAAAAGTTATTGTAAATTATATTATTTTCCTATAAAACCCCATAAAATAACGAAAAATAGGATTTTAGACAAAAATCCGGTTTTTATTTGACATAGTATGTTATGGTCCTTACAATTTTGATAGTTTTTTTTCATTTTTTAGAAATTTTTATTTTTAATGGGTATTTTCCCATAAAACCCCATAAAATAACGGAAAAATAAGATTTTCCCAAAAATGGCCCGAACGATTTTGATAAAAATTTAGTATGTTATAGTCCTTTATATTCGGAACAAAATGGTACAAATCCCATCTCTGTAAAAATAACGGTTCAAAAGTTATTGTAAATTATGTTATTTTCCCATAAAACCCCCATAAAATAACGGAAAATCACATTTTCCCAAAATTGGCTCGAACGTTTTTTTATAAAAATTTAGTATCTTATAGTTCTTTAAATTCTGAAGAAAATTGTACAAATCACATTTCCGTATATTTACTCTCACCGCTTACACATGATAAAGGTTGTTGACAAACTTATGGGAGAAAGTATGTGTCAGAATGCTGATACCGTTTATTTATAAATAAATTATGAATCATTGGAGATGGTACGCCACCTAGGTGCGTATTTAACCCAAATATGTGCGAAGATGAGTGTAGAATGGTGTGAGATGATCAGTGTAGCTTTTTTACTGACTAAGATCAGCTGTTTCTTTAGCAAGGATCATTTATTTGCCGAACGATCAAGAACAGCTGATCAGATCTGGCTGACAGTGCAGTATTCATTCAGTGTGGTGGCCACTCCTCGGTGACATGACCTCTACATATCTCTACGTCTGCGCCTTTCTTGGTCCTTGCTCCTTGCACCACAATCGCTGTCACCCCTCCAGGAGTGTCATGCATTGTTCCACATCCATCGCTCTGATAAAATCTGTCTCGGTAGCCCTAAAATATGTTGCAAGCTGTTGCACGCAAACGTTTGTACAGGACGCGTATACAATACCTCTGCTTGAGCCTGAGTTTGGGCGTAGACAAAAATAATTAAATATAGACTGTCATCCGTGCTGCGGTTACCATGGTTACTGGGAGCGCCATATAGTTACCTAGCGCGTATGCCGTGACTACATGGCGCTCCCAGCGGTGTGCGCCAGAACCTATGGTTACTGCAGCACAGCTGACGGTCTATATTTAACCCTTTTTGTCTATGGTTTGGGGCACCAACATTGGAGATCGGAGTAAATGCAATAAATGCAACTGTTATAAGTTTTAGTCATTCTAAAAATTATGGCTCTAAAGTAGTGAGGTTGGAATGTTTCTGGTCCAAAAGTACAAAGTTGGATAAACATGTGTTGGAATTTAAATGAAGATATGACACCACTTCCACATAGTTTAACCACATCAGCTTGGTATATATTAGGTTATATTAGATTGGTATCCAATAGCCAATGATAGTATATATACTTTTTACCATAGAGTGGTTAAGGTGAGGTTGCATGTTCAAAAATGGATTTTTTAAGATAAAATATTACAGTTGTTTGATGGAAAAGCAATTTTAACAGATGTTTCTTTCTCCCAAAATGTTGTAAGAAATATCTGCATTTTTGAATGCTGTTTGGTTTCAGGAAACAATATCAACCAACCCCTATCATGCCTATGCTATTTAGAATGATATTTTCTTTTCTTAGGTAACAACACTAAGTAGAAAGAAAACATGGATTCTAAATTAACTGTATTATTTTAATGAACCAAATCTCTTAAATTGTTCACGCACTTTTACCGTGGAAATATTGTTTATCCGATTTTGGCTTAAGAAAGGTACTAGCCCAAATTTTTGTTTTTAATTTCCATAGTAACTTCGTTTTGATATTTCAAACCTGCACCTTGAATAAACTGTTCTGCATATATTTGGTAGACTATTAATTTTAGGTGTCAAACTCAAATAAGGTAACTCATCTCATCCTCATGTATGTCACTTGCTTGTTAAGCATAGACAGAATTACGAGGCATCTAGGCAATTGCTAGACTTTGAGTGGCTAAGTGAATCTGTTTGAATAACAGTCCTAACACAGGACCTAATTAGGCTTCGAAATAAATTCTCAGGGCACGGGTCTCTGAAAACGTCATAATCTAGAGAACGACCACTGTAAGAATGATTGATAACATTAAAAATACTGCATAACATAATTACGTAACAAACAACAATTTCACCTAATAGCTCGAACAGTTGAAGGCTACATTTTGTTACCAGCATTTTTGTCTAAAGGACATGAGTTTCTGTTCTATGATTCTGCAGACGTGTCTAGTTTATGCCCGCCTCCTACAGATTGCCCTGCGTATGCCCATGTTTCTGCCAGACATTGCCCGTGTCTATGCCCGAGGCAATGAATACAAACCCGAGGTCTGCCCCGTGTTCGCTTACCACGAACCCATCCAAGGTATGATTCATGCGCAGTAAAACTGTCGAGGTCTGGCGCAATTACGACGCACACGTTCCCTCTCGTGCGAGTGTTCGAGAAAATTTCAGATTCATCCACGAGTTGAGACCGAAAGCTGGTTGTGAAGAAGACAAAGATACACGGCTGAATTTAGTGCTCGTCTATTTAGAAGGTTGACGGTTCGATTCCAAGAAACAGTCAATTTTTGAAGGTTTGAAACAATTAATTGTACCCAGCTGTAATTGATGATTGGGCTTTTAATCAATGGTTCTGGTGAAGAAACCGGCTGATTTTATAGCCAGGCTTTCTAAGAAGTTTAATATTCATCCAAATACGCACAAAGATTTACATGATCACAGAAGACTGGATATTGAAGTAG